GCATACAATCACTACAAATACTAGGAGGGAAAAGGACAGCTAAGTTTTACATCCAGTAAAATAGATGCAGGGCAGCGTTGGACTTGTTTTGAACACATTTTCAGAAGAGAGGTTTATAAAGTCTTAATCTACACTGAATTCAAGTAAATTTAATAATTTTATATGTTGTGATGTTTTGATTAAAAAAGTTATCTTATTTTTATACTCCAATTTGATAAGCCAAACAAATAATGTGTTTATTTCTTTTTTAAAAGGCACTCAAACAGTATGTTTAAAACGTGTCTTTGTTAGTAAAAACATCTCATATTTATAAAAAATGTATATGTATTTAATGTGATATTCCTTGTGGTCAAATCTTTACATCATGGTCCTAATCTGGCTAACATTATACCTTTAAAATGAAACAGAGATGTGTTTTGCCATTCCCTCAACATAACTAGCTATTTGAAGTATTCCTACCTGCTGGTTATAGGCATTTACCAATCACAGTGCTAAATTTGGGTTTCCTGTCATTGGAGTGAAATGGGCACTGTTCGCTCAGTAGTGTTGAGGTTCGATGGGGTGTCTGTTAGGCACATCCTTTACTGAATGTGAACAGGAGTTTAAATGTTCCTTTTGAACATAGGTTGTTTGTTTCTATCAAGATAAGTGGGATTAATATAGCTAGTGTACTGACATTGGAGTCCTATCACTAAGGCAGATTATCATACAGTCAAATATATTTATAAAAACACCTCTGTCACAGGGTAACATGGGGTTTGAAAGTGATGTGTATCTGCTTGATATGGCTTGGTACATAGTTAATGCTCAGTAAATTTTAGCTATAATCATCTGTTTTCAAGAGTTACTAGTTTCACCTTATAAAGTTATTATTTCTACCTTATTCAGCACCTTATAAAATGTGAAACTCATATAAAAAACTCCCTTACTTTAGTCCTTTCACCCTCAATTACCATAATAAGCGATAATGAAAACTGGAGGCTTCCTAGGGGGATGTGCAATCAATAGGAGACTGGGCTCACCTTTATGATTTATAATTTTTTGAAAAGCGTGACTTTCTTAAAAGTTACAAGCTTATTGTTCCAGTATTTTCTTTATTTCTCTTTAGTAAGAAATGCTTTCTGAAATGTACTGCAGGCAGGCAAATAACAGAACTGACAAATGTTGAAGTATTTTACTGTTACCTGAACACAAAGAATAAGGCATGATGAAATTTATACACTTCAGGTGAGCTCTTTCCTATACCTAGTCCTCTTACATGTATAGAATTATTTCTTCTAATCACTAATTCTATCTTCTGGCTATGTTTTATTATTATCTACAAATTCAATAAATGGAGCATTAATATTTCATAGTTCAGGCTCAATAAATCAGGACAACAGTATTAAAAAAGAAAAAAACCAACAAATGTTAAGCCTCATATATTTTCATTTATATCCTAAGCATCATTTCCAATTCAAGAATATTTGAAAAAGTATTCCCCTTTAGATTATACATTTTAAACTATCCAGTTACATAAAGATTGCCATTTGGCTACTCAGATTTGGAGAGGGATGGTACAGGGTGAAGGCAAATAAAATTAAAGTGTACCTTTTGAAAATCAAAAGAAACATACAAATGAATTTCTAATTCACATAGCCTATTGACTTTACAGTCTGCTAATAAACACCAATTTTTAAACATTACATATAAAGTTAAATAACATAGAAAAAATAAATTATACTTTATTATATAAACACATAGAAATCTGTACTGCTCAAAATGTTCAGATAATACTAGGCTTGGTTGTTTAAAGCTGTATTCAGAAAATATGAGTGATATTTATATTCTTTATTTTTTACTAGAGAGAAATGCAGTGAGGTGACAAAATCGCTGATGTCAAACATTTCCTCTTTCTACCTACAAGAGCTGCAAACTTTAATATGAAAATGAGGTAGACAAAATTCATAAATTGGCCAGGCAGAAACAAAAGCACCATTCCTTTGTGAAATCATAAATTCTCATTGTTTGGGTTAACAAGCATTATTCCGAAGCACCTAAAGCAAGGCTGAGAGAACACTTTTAGGTTCGTCATGGAAAACAAAATGAGCAATTTCTCCTATAAAAGGCTAGTCTGCAAGATGATCAGCTAGCAGATACAAGGAGCAAGGCAAAAGAGGTATGCCATGGGACCAGCTTGGATGGGTAACATCCCTCACCTAGCCACTTTTTTCACTTTAATTATCTTGACGAGTCAGTTTCTCTAAAAGTGTGGATTTCTAACCTACTTTGAGATGCATTTGATAGTACACAGTCCTCTTTCCAATGTATCTCTCTAGACAGGGTATGTGTGCATTCACTACACAGTCAGCTCCTGAGGCTGGCCTAGGAGCTTATCAGTGGAAGAACCTGATTTCAAAAACAAAACAGTCTCAACTAATAGTGCAAGGACACATTATAAAGAAGGCAGAAAAGGCTGAATTTTTGGAGGATGTTTCTCACAATCAATTTATAGTGACTTGAGGTAGAACTAAGGGCCTAAAACAGGTACTTGAACCCTATGTTCACAGGAGCTTCAGTTTAGAGACTAAAACTAACACCGTTTTGGAATTTCTTTCCTAACTATTGCTCCTTAGTAACGATTGTTGAACTAAGCTGTCTCCATTTCGAGTTTGGAAAAAGCCTACTCACGATGGCAGCTGCTTCTCTGTGTTATCTCCAGCCTGGGAGTCCTTGGGGACAGAAAGCAAGCTGCTGAAGGACTAATCGTTAGCCTTGGTCTTTGATAAATTTAGTCTGCTTTCTGTTGCAAGCAACATGTTAGTACCTCATATATACTTTTTGTTGTTCATTTTACTGTCAGTTATAATAATGAAGCACCACAGAAGTGGCTTATGGATGTTGACACAATTCACTGAGGTATGCTTTAGAATTGCTATGAAATTGTACCAATGCATCCACAAAAATCAACATAAAAGTAAAATGAAAATCCTACAGTAAGAATCTGAAAAATTGCCCTCACACACATACATTTAAGTAATATAAATATATCTATTTAAATAAAGTGGTTTTGATTGAATTTTTAAAAAAATCACAAATGTCTTGAAGGAGTGACCTTGCTGCTAGGCTGCAGAGGTATTTAAATACATATTTGAATAATGACCACTTTATAAAGTAAGCATTAAAATCATAGAGGCAGCAAAAATATTTTAGAAATCCATGTATTTCTTTCTGTGCATAACAGAGGATTAAAATCTCTATCTTTTTCTCTCTGTGTTTCAGAAAACTCTGTGCGGTCCAAGAAGAACAACTATAGTAAAAATGAAACCCTTAAAATCTTCAGTTAAATTAAATAGCAGATTGTATTTAAAATTTTAAGCTCTTAAAATATGTGTGGGGTAGGGTGGTGATCCTGTGTAAAAAATTTTGAACAGTATTTAGAGAGTGTTCAAAGAAGAGAATGCTGTGGAAACTAATGCGTATATATTATATTGTATATGATACATACATGTATATCATATACAGTATACAACATGTATTCTATTATTATATTGCATTATACATGCATACACCCCTCCCCCTGAAGGTTAGGTGACATTTTTTTGATTGAATTAAAGAAAGACAATGTTTTAGAGAGCCAGTTGAGTTTTTGAAACATAATTCTGCTGTGGTGGTGTTCTTGACTGAGTAAATAGGGTGAAAATATAAAGGGCTCAAGGGGGAGAATTTCATGAAGAATAGTACGTAATAGGCAAATTAGAGAAGTTAAGAATGTCCAAGGATGTTCCTGACAATCTGAGGTTATTTCCAATCTTTTTCAAAGTGTTTGCTTTTGGGTGGGGGACAGTGGCAATCTGGCTGATGAATGCTCCAGGTAAACATTCATCTGACCCTGGCATTTCTTAAGCCCTTGCATAAAAGCCTACAGCTCAGCTAAATAGTACCAGTTGAGACGATTCTCTAAATGCCTCTAGATTTCTACTTAATACAAAGGACAGAGGTTGTATAGCTAGTGCTCTCCCTTCAGACACTGAAACCCTTGATTATGAGAAGCATCAACTGGTATTAGGCATGCCACGTCAGTTAATCTGCTCTTTAGCTGGTTCCAGGAATGGGTAAGACTTTTCCTAGAATCATATAAAAATTTCTGGATATGACTTAATAGAACATAATTTCAGCTTTAGTGCAATTACTGTATTTAAAGGAATGTTTAGTATGAAACAGCCCTAATGGCTCCACAGGTTGTGGCACAACTTAGCCAAAGTATCGTTTTCTTATTGCTGATCCTTCTGTTTGCCCAGAGCTGCCCCGGACATTTGCATAGTGTTTACAGTGGAAACCTGTCTCACAATGTCAACTAAGCAGACAGGAGAGGAAGCCCAGGACCAAAGCAAGAAATAGTCTCAAATGGGCTTTTTGTCTTCGTGGGAAACATTTCAGACACAATGAAAAGCATCAGGTCAATGAGTGCGCTGTTGGCCTATTGTGTATTTCAAATGATTTAAGTCTATTTTATGAATACAATCTTTGTGGTGATTGTGTTGAGAGTTGTACCTGAGTCACACAGTGGCAAATTATAGTCAATGAAAAAAACAATGCTTTGGCTTCAATAAGCAGGAATCCTCCCAAAGTCAAAAACAACAGCAGCTTTGAAAAAGAAAGTATGCCTGCTATTGAGTTGCCTGTTTAAATCACTTTGGAGCTTAACAATTACACTAAGTTATTTTGTTTCTTTAAAAAAATCCATATATATATAGTCTAGTCCCTCTATGAAAAGAAGCTTTGGCTTGGCTATTGGCACCACTCTTGTATGAGGTACATGTTTTCTGTAAAGTCACATTGGCAATAAACAATCAATTCCGTTGCATATCAATATGAAGAAAATGAAAATAATATACTGTTTATCACACAGTTTCAGGAATGCCCTTGTGAGCATCTGTTGCAGAGGAATGCCCCAGAGTACATTGGAATTGGCTATATTAGTTAGATAGTTTGGCTAACAAACATTAATAGTGCCGTACCGAACTCCAAGGGCCAGTGCTCCATGCAGCATCTTGAGGACAAGCATGTGTGTTACACAGCTCACGATCTGGAGGCTTATCAAGAATTTCACAGCTCAGATCTGGAAACTGTTCACTGCTGGGTCGCTGACACACCACCAGTCTTGTTCGCAAGCCTCCACCGCATGGCTTAGAACACTGCAAAAAGGAAAAAGAAGGCTACAGTTGTTTTGTCTGAAGAGCCAATGGCAAATTTTCTTTTCCCATAAGAAATATTTCTTAGTTGAACTCCATTTTGGCACGGGGCAAGGTAAGTCTTTACTTCAGTGTGCAAAGAAGCACACTGAATTACCCAAAGTAGTATCTACAACAGCTCTCTACCTCAATGGTAGGTATATTTTACTGAGTGCTACCTCTTCACCTGCACTCAATGCTTATGATCTCATCAAGAGGAGAGAATAATTATTTGCCCTATTCTATATATGGGGCAACTAAGCTTAAAAGAGGTTAATTAACTTGATCAAGGTCAACCGAATAACAAGCGTTTAGGATAGGATTACAGTATACAAAACCAAAAATCAAATATCCCAAACCCACCCAGTACCACATAAAAGAAATAATGACTTAGCCAGTTTTATTTCCTGGAAACTTTTAAGAAGCTGTCACCAACCTCTGGCTATCATGTGACTTCAATCTCCAAAGACCTTTATGATGTCAAAATATTTTACATTACCTTCGAATCTTAGAATAACTATGACCTTCCCTGAGAATGAATAAACAGCATGATGGGAATGTTGGATCAAGTTTTGACTCCTGGCAGATCCAAACTTCTGAGGCAGGAACAAGTTGTATTTCTTGGATAGGAAACTGCTGTGCTCACATCCAGGAACACTGAGATTTGGTTTCCCTGCTGTGTCAAGGCCAGATCTCCCACAGAATGTGGAATGATCTGGTCCGTGCTGAAAGCAAGCATCCCAGTGAATGCGTGTATTCTCCTGGCTTCAGTCCAATTACAGAAGCTTAATCATGGGTCCCACGGGACAAAACGTTTTGAGGAGTTTTGGGAAAGCCATACTACATGACTCGCAAAGCCTGACTCTCCCTTCCTGCCTTTGAGCCAAGCCCTCCAGAATGACGCACTGTCAACGAAAGTCAACAAAAACCTCTGTGATGACTGCCTATGACTACTGGGTTACGTGTATGAAACCATGAAATGTGAACATATGATTTCGGTTAGGCAGGAGGGTGCACTAATGTGCCTGTTCATCTCATTTGTCTTTTCCCCCTCTTGGCACTGGAATCTCCAAGATGTTAATCCTCATGTTTTATTTTATGAACTTTACAGTCAAGACAGAACAACTCAACAAGCTTTAAATATGTGATCTCTCTGTAAATTCAAGAGAACAAAACATTAAGTATATAAGCCCTACATGTAATAGTGGCCCAGTAGCCCATTTAATAATGATAGTAATAATAATGATAATAATTATTACTACTAATAATTATCACTTTTATCATAGCAGTCATCTTAGCTCGAAGGCTATGTGATAGGCATTTGATATGCAGCATCTCTTATACTAGCCACAAAGATGATGAATTTGATGACTTTATCATCCCTGTTTATAGAAGAGGATGCAAATGTTTGGCAAAGTTACATTTTGCCAAGGCCACGTAGCTTATATGAGTCAGGGTTGGGAATGGTACCCAATTTTCTCTGGTTCAAATACTCCACTGCCCTTCACCAGTCAGACTCTTTAAAATGGTCTAAAAAGTAAGAACAGGCAACTTTTTAGGAAGGTCTAAAAAGTAACAGCTAAAGAATTTCACTATTTGAGAATACACAGCTAATTATTTACTTCATGTTTAAAAGGAGTCATCTTTGATAGGAAAAATAGCACCCATTCATTCTGGTTTCATTGGGGGTTTAAAATAATGGGAGACATTATGCTTTGAGAATAAGAGTGACATCCCAAACATCCCAAAACTCTGAAGAAGATGTCAAAATTTCTGTTAACTAATTTAACACACACTTTCAATCAGTTTACAGGCCTCCACCTTTTTTTTAACTAGCAGAGGTTAACAATTTAAACGAGCATTTATCTGAATTCTTTCCTAATTTTCCTCTCCAGTGTAATCAAGCTGTCTATATAATTAGTCATGAACCCATTTTTAAAGTAGTTTAGCATTAAGACAGGTCTTCTAGTTAATCTCAAATCAAGAAGCTTTCACTGGAACTAATTCTTCTTCCTTCAAATAAACTACGAACAATAACACAGTTTGGTCATACAAAATTACGTGTCTGTTTTTTCCAAAGGCTGTATAAATGGACTTTTACTCTCACCTCTCCCCAGCTGCCATAAGCCCACTGAGGACATGGCCCAGACTCGCAGGCTCTTTGCTCATCGGGTTTGATTCTCTCCACACAGTCACTTGCGGTGTATCCGTTCTCATCCTGACATACAACGACACGGCGCTGCCACCCTCCAGCACAGGTGCTAGAACACTGAACATATCAGACATCAGTCGACAGGTTAATCCCCACCTCCATTTCCACTTTAGGATCACAAAAAACAGCTGACTGAAAGGTCAGAGACAAAAGTGACAGAAATCGTCCACAGTGGACAGAAAGCAGTTGTGAGATGTCCCCTCCTGTGGGGTTGTTTGATGTAGAAGGTCTTAAATACCTGAGGGGCAGGAACATGGCTTCTCCTTTGCACAGGTTAGGCTTTGAATAGGTGTTCAGTAAATGTCTAATGTAGGTATTTGGTAAATGCCGGTGTCCAGAAAATGTCTAATGAGTGATAATGTGTTGTTATTTCCAAAACAGCCCTATTTATGGTCCTCCTTTATCTTCTCTGCATTCCTGACAGGTACACAGGTATTGAATGACACCACACCTACTGAGACATTCTTTTCTTTTCAAAACTACCAGTGATTATTTAGAACCAATATTTTACTTCCCTTTCAACATAGGCATCAAATTACATGGCTTAACTAATAGCCAGTTGTTGAAATTAAGCTTTCATATTAACTCATTCATTTATATGGAATACCACTTTGACATCATTTTCTCACAGGTAATGATGCCATCTCTCCCTTAATTATAGAGTCTACCTTAGTGGCTGGTGGTAGCAAGATTTATTTTCATTCTTTCTGTGTATTTCCCAATGAACTTCACTGAATTTTATATGGATAAACCTCTCTTCAAATGGACATTCAGTCTAGCACCCCTCTCATGCTTGTCACAGAATTATGCTTGCATTTCAGCTAATTTCCCACACAAGCTTCTCAAAGCTCTTTTATTTATCTACATCTTGAGTGTTTTTTCCATAACTTTGTTATCTTTTGAAACTCAATGTGTTTGCTAGTATCCTTCAATCTGACACTTAACAGTTTGCCTATAAAAAAACCATCTAGTTCTCAAAGCAATGCAATTCCCACGAGTTATCACATCAAAATGCATTTGCAACAGTGTTTTGAGTTCCAGGTTCTAATGGCTGCTTTGTGCTTTCTATCAAACCTCAGCACACACCTGTGTTATTTCAAAATGCCTGTAAATTTTGCTGGTCAGCTACTTTTTGCTGGTCAGCTTCTTTCATACAATGTTGTGAATATATTTTGCTCATCATATTGGACCTCAGTTCAATTTCCCTACTTATGCTTGTCAAATTATGAGAGGTTTAAAAATATATTGAGCTTAATTAAAAAAATATGCATAGAGCAAGAAAATAGATTTATGAATTCTGTCTGAGAAAATATTTAGGTAATTTTTGATTTAGGTAAATTTTTAATGTTTTAAAATATTCTACCTCTATTCTCAGATGGTTCTGGTATACTTACTCTAAACTTGAAATATTTTTTCCTACTTTTGAAACAGCTTAGTCCATAATAAAAAAAAACACAGAGAACTATTATGTTAATTGGCTTTGTCTGAGGACCAGAATTTGAAATGTTTGGAAGGAACTTCCATACTATAAATAGATTTGGAATACACATATTTTGGCCCTTGCATTTTCCCCTTCACAACAAAATCTTGTGTTATTCTTTTATTATGTTTCCTGTGAGTGCGTGGCCCAACAAAATGGTAAACCATTTGAGGGAAGGCTCTGTCACCATTCATATCCCTGTTAACGCCCATGGCACTGGTCACAGGATTTATTGCCTGGTCCCATTCCAGTTCCTGGAAGAAGCAGCTCTATAAGACTTCTCTACCTTCTCTTCCTTTTTACCCTCTCATCAATATGGCCTACTGGAGCAAGGATGGATAGCTGATCCAAGACAAACTAATCTACAGCTGCCCAATGACCAGTCAGATGTTTCCTCCTGTGGATCTGACCAAAGAGATGGAGACAGTGCTCAGCTGGGGCCAAGCAATTGAACTGCACAGCCCTGCAACCACACTGCACAGCTCTAAACCCACGGTCAGCATAGGTCTTTACCCTCCCACACGCAGGTTCAGTGTTGTACCTGATCTTCTCCAGGTTCACTTTTGTCTTTTTTGATTAACAGGGATTCTTAGTTCAAGGACTATGTTGCAGAATTTCATTCTGCACTTCTTTTGTTGACAATGTTCTTTAGATGACATATATTTCTAGGTAGATATTTCTTTGAACAAACCCTGTACCTATCATCCCCACTGGACAAAAAAAAAAAAAGGGTAAATGGCCTTTAAAGAAGGAAGAGGTAATGGGCATCTTCTTTTCTTAGTTGCCTCATATACTCACCCTACGTCTGGCAGCCCAATTCTCCCATAAAGAATGATTCCTCCAGCAATGGATGCCACCTTAGTGGGACTGTCTATTACAATACTCTGCCCTGCCCTGGTTAAGGTGTGAGCAAGTGGAACAAGCTGGACAATCAAACTTTCCTGGGAATTTGAATCTTGAGTAGAGTAACTCAAGGGTGGTTCAGAGGTAAAGGGGATTCATTAACAGAGAAACTCCTTAAAGAAGTTATCCTTTAGTTACTGCTCCCCCTAGAGCAGGATTGGGCAAAACACAATATAGGAGCCAAATTTGGCCTACAATCTGTTTTTATAAACAAAGTTTTATTGGAACATAGCCATGACCATTCCTTTATTGTCCATGCCTGCTTTTGTGCTACAGCAGCAGAGCTGGTTAGTTGTGACAGAGACTGTATGGTACACAAAGATAAAAATATATTCTATCTGTCTTCTTGCAGAAAAAAATTGGCAAGACCTGAGCTAGATCCCTGAACATGCACTGGTTTCTGCCTGTACTGGGGCTAAACAGTTTTGTTGGCTTTGCTTTCAATTGAAAGAGTCAGTTTCTTTTCTTCTGCTTGCAACTAGAGACCCCTAACTGATAATAATACATGGAAAGCCTCATACTGGGTTCAAGTTTATACAGAAGTCTACTGTAAAACAAGGTTCTTTCTCCAGAACCCAGGGTAAACTTGAGATTCCCACTCTCTAGTGCTTATGATTCTTTGCTGCCTTTTCTGCCACAGAAGGCACACACATACAGTTTGCACATCCCACACACTCCTGGGAGGAGGGCAGGCATTCCAAGGGAGGCCTGAAAGATCACAGTGTCCAACTTCAGCTTTACTTAAATTAGAAAAAAAATCACCAAACACAAAACAGGCACAATGGGGAAAAGAATGGTGGTGCCCATTGCTGCAAAAAGGTTACCTAATCCCCCCTAATTGGGAATTCTGCCTGGGGCAGAATCATTCAGTCTCGAAGGAATGTATCACTCCCTAAATGCAGTCCTAAATAGGAGCAGCTTTAAAATGTTTTAAAAAAATTTCTAGTGCTATCACTTGAACACACACTCAAGTTCTGAATTTTTCAATTAGAAAAATTGTGGGACACCTAGTGATTAGTTACCCTTTGATTTCTCAGAACCAAAGTCACTTCTGAGCCAGGCGAAGGAACATGAAGAGGAAAACAAGCCAGGAGAACGAGAGGCCGGAAGGTCCCTACAGCTTGCTTGGCAGATATGCAGCAGCTACTCGCAAACATGAAGGAGCTACTCAGAATTCCTAGGAAAGTCAGTCTGATTTACTGAAACAACTGGCTGAAAAACAGTCTCCTTCTAATCCAGAAATAATTGGTCCAGAAATAATTAAACACAATTAGCAGTACTGGAAGGAAATGGACAGTAAATAATTTAAGCGAAGACCCCAGAGTGATGAATAAACCCTTAATCCTCACACCAACCAGGGCCAGTGCTTCCTCCCCCTGCCTGCAGTTTCATTCCACATAACCAACATTCCACAATGTAACTATTTTTATTGGAAAATTATGTAGCAAAAAATTAAAAACATTTAAAAGCATATTTTTCCTTTGAATATTAAATATTTTTCAAGGTCTTCCTATTTTGAAGGACAATGGTAACGATAAAGATTATTGCTGACATCTATTAAGGTCTCACTCTGTGGCAGGCAGAGTGCAAAGCACTTTATTTGCATCAATGAGTTTAATTCTTACACCCCAAGAAAGCCAGAATTATGGTTAACTTTGTTTTACAGATGACAAAACTGAGGCTTGAAGAGCAGAGGGGACCTGCCAAAGTCCACAAGTTACAGTACTTCTCCCCTTACACACAGCTTTTACCTAGCCTCCTCTCTCTCCCCACCCCATCCAGGACCATGATCTATTGCTACAAATTACACAGCAACCAGGCCCCTTTGACATCGCATGCATGTGGAGGAGAGCAAGAAGGAAAATGGCATTCAGTAAGAGCTCCCTTTCAGCAAAGTTCCTTTGCCCTTTTAATTTCCCTGCAGGTAAGAATGGCCACTGCTGCCTCCAGGCTCACTCATCCCCGCCTTGACAGCACCCCCCAGGAGGTCACCTGATCATGTCACCCAGCAGCGACACCCCGTTCTCCACCCAATCAAGGTAGCTTATAGGTGCATGCAGGCAGCATTCTGTGGCACCTTCTCAGGGACTGCAATTTACCCACTGTGGTTGACCCCCAAACAAGTGAAAAGCATGTCAATTCATTGTGGAAAAAATGCTACAAAGGTGCTTTGAGTCTGTTTTTCCCTAAATAGTGCCTCCAGTGAAAGAGAAGAAGGCAAGTTAGGAAAAGACCTCAGTAAATACTCACTGCTCCCCAGGGTCCAGTCCTCCACTGGTTTCCACCAAGCACATGGGTTTGGCTAGGGCTGAAGCTCCTGGGGTGATAACCCACATTTTGGAAAGGGTTTTGAGCCAGGACACTGTCTGGGGTTCGTTGAGGGCATGGTGACATGAAACAGTCTTGGTTGGTTTCTGGGATATACTCTGGGTCACAGTTGCTTTGATCAACCACGTGGTCACTGTAGTTGACACACACCACTTGCCTGGTTGTTCTACCTTGCCCGCATGTCACAGAACACTACGTCGAATATTCAGAAAAAAAAAGGGTCAGTCATTCAGCAGTCATAAATTCATGAAAATGCATTTTTTTTGTAAATTGCCCGCTACTCACCAGGTTAATCAAAAAAATTGGTGTTGTCCTTCATTCCTCCCTTTTCTTCCCACCCCGTAGCCTTTTCACTGAGAAATCGTGTCAGCTCAGTGTTCAGATACACACTTCTCACTGCCTCCACCATCACACCTCCAGTCCCAGCCATCACCTTCCTTTGCCAGAACTATTGTAATGGCCTTTCATCTGGGCTCCTGCACATAACTTTGATCCCACCCCCAAGTCTGCCATCGACATATCACAAACAGTGACCCTCGCAAACGAAAGTCAGATCATGTGACTCCCAAATTCACTTTGGATGTTATTGGATGTCCAAAGTCCTTACTTGAACTGGTAGATCCCAATGATACGGTCACTGGCTATCTTTCACTCACCTCCTGCCATCCTCCACTCACTGCATTCCAGCCACACTGGACTTAAGGATTTTTTCACTATGCCAAGAATACTCATATCTCAGGTCTGTGCATCTGCTGTAACTTCTGCTGTACCATAGGAATATCCATGTGGCTTACTCCCTCACTTAACTTAGTCCTACTCAATCAAAGCCAGCCCTTTTCTGACCACACTGTCTGAAAGCACAGCCATCTTTCTCTACATCCGTACTCTGCTGGACTTCCTCTAATACTTACCAGTATCTGTTGCTATATCATATATCTATTTTTGTATTTCCTCAGGGCCTGGAATCTCCTTTGGACTAATCTCCATGACAGTAAAGACTTTATTATTTGTTTTCCCTGCTTTTTATACAGCGAGCCTTATCAAATACCTAGTGAGTAAACAGATGTACCTGATATCTGTTGGTCTGTCTGCATGTATGTATATATGTTTGGAGGCTCAGGGTATGAGAATGAGATTATCTACCATTTATTGAGCACCCACTTTGTGCTAAATATTTAACATATATAATCTCAAATAATCCACACAACATCCTTGAAGGTATTCTTTGGTCTTCTTTGAAGAGCAGAAGAAGTTAAGGTCAAAAACTCTAACCAGACAGCTTAAGGTCATGCAGCCAGTAAATGTCAACATCTGAATGTTTACACAGCTCTCTTTGAATCTACCTCTTAAATTTTATATATATGTTATGATATTTCTTGACATAATAGTCTCCATTTTCCTTGTAATGTCTCCTCACCTATCCTAAGCTTTGTCCTTCCTGGTCTCTTTGGTTTTGGCAAGGCAGAAAGCAGGAGCTGCCTGAGATAAATGTTTCTCTACTTCTACAAAACCCCATAGATGGTTTTTGGTGTGCATGGAGGCCTAGTACAAAGCGCACAATGAAGATTCTCACTTTTTACTTTTGGCAGGAAAGCCAAGGGTGACTGGACTTCAAGGCATGGTAGGATGCAGGAGAGCCCCAGACTCAGGGTGAAAGGCCATCTTTGCACTCCTCCCTTCATCTCTGCTGCCTTTGTTACCTTACACACCTACTACATTCTCATGTGATTCAATTAAGACTGGCTTTCCAATGAGCCCAACAAGATAGGGGCTTAAGTAGATTTTAAATGGACTTACGTGTCTTTTTAAAAATGTGCATTTCTTATCCATCTGGCTAAGATTTATACCAGCTACGCATACATGAAACACAACAATTTAAATCCCAATCTAAATTTAAGTCCAATTCTAAAATGTTACCCATTGACATCTGAGATCTGTTAAATTCACCCCCTTTACTGCGCCCCAATCCTCTCCCAACCCCAAAGAATGCACTTGCTTACAGTGCTCCAGTCCAAAGCCTTCCACTGGCCACAGGGAGTCACAAAACATTCTTTCTCTGCCACTGGTTTAGGCAGCATTATACAGGCTCTTTCATCAGCCACAGAGCCGTCTTCATCCCGGCAGCTGACATATCTCATCTGGGTACCTTTTCCACAAGTGGCTGAGCACTGGGTGTTGGAATAAAATAATGCAGAATGTTATTTGAATCAGTTGCGAACTGGACAGCAATCCACTTTAAGGTCATGTCAGAGAATGCCTTCTTTGCCCTCCACCCCTTCAACTTCTACCATTCTATTTCTTACTGGAGTCCAAGACCCAAATCGCCACTGGGTTCTGGGCACACTGTGTACGTCTCTCCTTGCTTCTGGGACAGCTGGGAGAGGGTTACAGGATGGTAATTCACAGTCCTAGATGGGAGAAGGGGGGAAAGCCAGTTACTTTTATGTCAATAAACACTTTTCATGGTCATGGCATATAAAAATATAAGAACTAAAAATTCTAAAACCTCAGGGATCTTTTCATACAGGGAAGAAATGATTCACATACTATAACTTTGGGCCTGCCCTCTAGTCCAGTGGATACTATAGAGCAGTTTAGAGAGAAACACATGTTTGGAATCTTTAAGGGAGTTGTTGAGTCCTTACTTTATGACTTCTCCAATGTAATAGCTAATATTTCCCAGGCATTTATAGTATGGTGGTTTGGAATATTTCAATAAAGTAATAGAAGTAAAGAAGACACAACTCACAAGTCATGTTTGATTAATCGATCAGCAATGACAACATGGGCAACACTGCCATCTTCATTTACTTTTTCTGACACACTTCATCCATAAACAACACATGCTGGCATGCAGCAGACTAAGGGTGCTCAAGACAAAGGCAGTGCATTGCCCGGTGGAGCCTCGGAGCATGAGTTCTGGAGAAAGTCTGGGTTCAAATCCTGTCTTCAGGAATTGGCAAAGCTGATATATAAACCCAAGTCTTCCCTTTACATAAGTGATGCCAAAATTAAGGTCCACGTAACATAGTGTGCTGGTAAGTGATTATCAAGTAGCTCTCTTGAGAAAAAAGGTGTGCATGTGTTTGTGTAGACAGATATGAATATACACATATGTTTATATATGCACATATGTGTTTATTATTAATTGTATTGATATAAAGAATGTGTAGCATACAACTTGCAAATGACAACAAAATATATTACTGTTCACTAAAAATTCCATATAGCCAATTGATTCTCACAGAATAGTTTTGTTGAATTTTGCCAAACTCTTGAATCTGTTGACAAACTATGGTTATAAGGGCTGGACAAGTGTCACTCTTACATAAATGTTAGTTGATGTTTTGTTTACTTTTAAGAGTAGGATGAAAGTGAAATAATGAAGATGCATAGAAGAAGTTTACTCATTTATCAATGACATGAACAATTTCTTTGCAAATACTGGAAAAGCATTTTCTTAAATTTTTCTGCTATTCACAATGTAACAGCTGCAGACAGGACACTCTTTTAAGTTTAATTTTCATTATTAATATTTTCTCCATCACCTTCTTATTTCTAAATAATCAACAAAACAATAAATAAAACCCTGAACTATATAGTATTTGCTGACTTCTGTGCTGAAAATACTCTCACCAGGGCCAATTTCAAGCTACCAATTTGATATCAAGTTGGGAAGAGAGGTACAGTAGCTCACCATTATATAGTATTTCCATCATATGGACACACACATGTAAATAACTCAAGGGCATAGATAACAGTAAAATGTAGGAAAAAGTGAGCACCAGCACACTGCTGCCTGAACATACATGACTCTGCTGAACCCTACTTGAAATTATTTTAAAAAACTAAGTTCAAGAAAATAAGACCAATCAACATTTGCCATCCAATAAAAATCAGGATCAAACCTACATACACTTCAATGACCACATAACAAAAAAACTGGTACATCAAAATACCAGATTCCAAATATAACAAGTAAATCCAGAATAATTTAATCAACAGTTTTCTCTACCTAAATACTTATCTATAAAAAGACTTCAATTTGACTGAAGTTATGGGAAGTTTTAGCATCTCAGTGCACAAAGGTAACAACTGAGTTGAATGAAAAAGACTTACCTGGGTCTCAGTGGGCCTAGTTGCTGCATTGCAGACATCGTCATCCACCTCTGACATGTAAGTCCTAACAATGCATTTCACGGTTCTGAGCTGGTATCCCTGCCCACAAGTGACACTGCACTGGGGGAAAGAAATAAAACAAAAGCACACGTAATTCAGCAAAATTTCTATTTCCCTTACTTTTCACATGACATTCTACATGAGAAAAATTATTTCCATCATTGTAGGCCAGAAGGTAGGCATCTAAAGAAATCAGTTAAAATTAGGTGATCCTTTCCTGTACAAATTATACTGATCAATTATCACTCTAATTTGAAATTATTTCTACCTCCACTGGAAGTATATTTGTAGGAGTTCAGTTCCTTAACTGTTAACCCATAGAAGGAGGAGGGTACATTTCAATCATTTGTATATCTTCCATACTATAGCTACCAGAACCATGAAAAATAGTAGGGTGGTTCCTCAAAAAATTAGACATAGAATTGTCATATAACCCAACAATTCCACTTTTGAGTATATATCCAAAAGATAATATCTCTCTGAGACTCTTCAAAGCAGAGTCTCAGAGAGATATTAATACACTCACTTGTTCATAGCAGCATTATTCACAATAGCCAAAAGGTGAAAGCAGCCTAGGTGGCCATCGACAGATGGATGCATAAACAAAATGTGATAGATACATACAGTGGATTATTATTCAGCCTCAAAAACTCCAGGAAGAAAATTCTGACATCTGCTGCAACATGGGTAAACCGTGAGGATATTACACTAATTGAAATAATCCCATCACAACAGGACAAACACTGTATGATTCTATCTACTTCTAGAGGTATCCAGAATAGTCATAGAGACAGAAAATAGAATGGCAATTGCCAGGGGCTGGGTGGAGGGCAAATGGGCAGCTAGTCAATGGACTGAGTTTTTATTTTGCAAGATGAAAATTTCTGGATATTAGTTGTACAGCAATATAAACATACTTAACACCATTGAACTGTATACTGAAAGTGGTTAGGACAATAAATCTTAATGTTATCTGTATTTTACCACAATTACAAATTTTTAAATAATGGGCAAAGGACTTGAATAAGAATTTCTCCAAAGGAGATATACAAATGGCCAATAACACATTAAAAGATGGTCAACAAGTCCTTAGGGAAATACAAGTCAAAACCTTAGAAGGGTCATAATTAAAAAGTAGAAAAATAAGAAGTGTTGGCAAAGATGTATATAAATTGTACCTTTTGTGTATTGCTGAATGTAAAAGGGTACACGTTCTGTGGAAAACTGTTTGGTAATTAAAAAGTTAAACATAGAATGATCAAATGGCCCATCAACAGTTCTCTTGGGTATATACCAAAAAGAATTGAAATTAGGTACTAAAAAGAACACTTTTCTTTTCATACATAAATATCCATAGCAGCCCTATACGCAATAGCCAAGAGGTGTGAATAATGCAAATGTCCCATGGGGGACTACTGCATAAACGAATGTGCTATATCTGTGCAATGGATTATTACACAGCCATATAAAGGAACAAGGAAAAGATGTATGCTACAATGTGGATGCTACAACGTTAAAAACATGTTACATCAAAGAGCCAGACACAAAAGGTCCCACATTGCATGATTCCATTTATGTGAAATACTTAGAATAAGTAAATCCCTGGAGGAAGAAGGCAGACTGTGGTCTGCAGGGGCTAAAGGGAGAGCAAATGGCAAGTAACTGCTTAGTGAGTACTCTCGGGGGATGAAAATGGTTTGGAACTAGACAAAGGTGGTGGCTGCGTAATAACATTATGAATGTACTAAATGACACTGATTTGTTCACTTTGAAATGGTTAATTTTGTATGTGAGTTTTACTTCAAACAAAAAAAGCAAAATATAATCTTAATATCAGTTTTAAAAAGAAAATCAAACCTATTAATAATAGTAATCTCTGTAGTATAGAGTTACAAGTATGTTTGGTTTTCTTCTTTTTGCTAAATAACATTTTGCACAATTTTCTTATGAACAGGCATTACTCTTAAATGATATTTTAAAATGCAGTTTATTGCCCTCAACTGCATGTTCAGGCAAAGGAAGAAAAAATCTCTGGTTAGGACTGGCCTGGTGTGGACAAGGGTAAAAAATAGGTCTACCAGTTATAAAAGATATAATATTCAGATCTTAACAGTGACCCTGAGCTGAGCATTTTTCCTCTCAACTATTCCCTAAGAGTTATGCAGATGGAGACAAAAAGGAGGCAATATTTGAAGTGTATGTAGACTCTCCCTGTTTATGCGGAGTGATCAGACCTTTTGACTAGGGATGCTGTGCAATGGGGAGGATTTGAAAAAGTGTTAATGCTAATGACAAAAAGTGTCAGGGAGTAGCAATAAAGGTGCCCCCTTTACCGCAGCCACACTGGAAATAAAGATGCGAGCTAGACAACTCAAGTGGCTGAGGCAGTGACTGGACAGGGTGGAGAACAAGTCATTCTCCAAGATACTGTGTAAGTGACAGTAGACAGCTGCTTTGCTTCTCCTGTGAACCCGGAGAGCTACTTAAATAGTACCAGAATGCTTTTTGCTTCTATATTGGGAAGGACTTGATTCCAAGAGTAGTGGCTTCTCTAATGTGAGCCCAAGAGAGACTTTCATTCTGTCCTTTAAGAATACATCTAGTTAAGACTTAAAACCTCCAGACAAGGGGACTTGGAAAAGATTCTTGCAAATGAGATAATTCTGTAGCCTTGGATCTAATTAACTTGCTTGAAGAGTCTGACTTATTTATGAGAGGTGAGCTCTGGAAAGATTGAGAGCCAAAACATCTCACCCAAATTCCAGTCCGGACCCTCCTGATGAAGATGCTGGGGCTAGATCCCATTTTCTCTAACAGATGCATAGGGGCAAACTAGAAAAGAACATCCGATAGACTCGAGATCTGTTGTGAACTGTTCAAATATTCATGTCTCAATCTAGTTTTAACTATGAGTGAAAAGGTGCGCATGGGTCTGTAAACGGGATAATCAGCAGCAGGAGGGCAAGTGGCAACCCCAGAAAGTGTGAGGAAATGGCTGCAGAGTTTCTCTTGCTTTGACACAGAGCCATGAAGGTATAGCGCAAGTCACAAACACAGCAGTGAAATCCCTGGTGCTGGAATGCCCGGCTGTAAGCCCTCTTCAGATAAAAAGGAAAGAATGTAGTTAAGAACTTTATCATTTGAAATACCTGTCCCCAGGGACCTGCCTGCCAGGACGCACATTCTGGCTGCTGACAGGTCTGCGTGGAAGCTGGCTTGGTCTCAGGGTCACAGAGTCTATCGTTTAATCGATCTTCACCGAACTGACACCAGACCTGACGGTGTCTGTGCCCTTTCCCACAGGTGACCAGGCACTGGAATGAAAGCACAGCCAGTCAGTGTCAGTTCTGGACAATGTGATGTGGGTCCTGGGGTGGTTTGTGGGTCAACAAGAGCAGGTGTGCCCTTTTCTCACAGCAATTCCTCTGTCTCAGGGAAATTTGTAAATATATCAAAACTAACTCCCTCCCTCCCTCCCTTCCCCCAACCCTCCCTTCCTTCCTTCCTTCTGTATTTATACAGGCTCTGGGCCAGTTTCAAGTACAGAATAAACTCGACATAGTACCATGAAATATTGAAGAACAGCGGTCATAGTTTTCTAGCATAGAGTTAAGTGTAGGGAATTCATGAGTCAGAACAACCTGGGTTTTAATCCAGAGGTCATGTGACCTCTCTATGCTTCAGTTTTCTCATCTATACCATGGGAACAGTAGTGCTTACTGCAAACAATTGTGAAAAATTGAAAATGACTCTAAGTAAAGTGCTTACCACATGCTCATTTAATAAATGTTAAATATAATCATCATTATTGTCTGTGCTCATTATAAAAAACTTGAAAAATGTTTGATTTTCCCAGCTTCTACTTTATCAAGCATTCTTGCAAAAGCTTGCTACTTAATTTGAAGTGATACTTCAGCTAATATTAGCTATCTAATAAAAATAAACCCACTACCTTCTTTTATCTTTTAAAAAACCATACTAGAGTTTAATCTAAGGCAGCTTATAAACAAAGAATGAAAACACTAAGTTCATTGTTAATTTGTTCAGGAATCAGACACTGTTACTTGTCTGCCATTAAACAGGCAATAATAGTAACCTTTTAAAATTCACATTTTAGCCCTGGCTGGTGTAGCTCAGTGGATTGAGCATGGGCCTGTGCAGCAAAGGGTTGCCAGTTCAAGTCCTAGTCAGGGCACATACCTGGGTTGCAGGCCAGGTCCCCAGTAGGGGACACATGAGAGGCAACCACACACTGATGTTTCTCTCCCACTCTTTCTCCTTCCCTTCCCCCTCTCTAAAAATAAAACAAATAAAATACTTTTTTAAAATTCACATTTTATTTGATGCTGAAAGTAAACAGTTACTCTGCCTTTTTATGGATGAGATAAGGGCATGCACACAGAAGCTGTTAACAGAAAAAACCTCCTTCCTCACATTCCTGGCATTGCCCATAAATAAATAAACTTCAGTTTTCCTTCTACTTGTTCTCCAGAAAGAAGGTAGAAGGAGTCACGTACTCAGTGAGACTCTCATGGGGCTATGTTATAATGAGTGCTAGCACGAGCATAAAAGCAAGGAAGAGGCTCTAGCATATTTGTCTAGCTATCCTGGGGTCACCTGTGCTCAGTGATGAAGGGTTCACCTTGCACTTCATAAGGGAAGGGGCAAGGAAGGCATACCAGGACCACTCAGCCTGGTCCTTTCCCTTTTCCAAGTTTCCACTAGCAACTGAATAGATAAGTCAGGTAAGTCACTCACTGGTGTCTAATTCTCCTATTTTATTTTTATTATTAAAAAATATTGTTCAATTACAGTCATCCCCATTCTCCCCCATTAGTCTCCCCTGCCCTACCCACCCCCATCCTACATTCAATTCTCCCCCCATCCCATTGTCTTAATTCTCCTATTTTAAAGACGAGGAAGTAGGACACCTTATTATTTACTTTAAATCTAAGCCAGTGCAGCTTTATAATTACTAAAGCCTCAATTCCTTTTACAGTGACTTAGCTAGGGCTCAAAGAGGAGAGGAGGTGAGGGACTAGAACTTGAAAGTCACCAATAAAAGCTGCTGTGGTGGGCAATCCAGCTCAAACCACTGTGCCTCTGAAGTTGCAAGTGGAGCAATCACATCCAGTATGACAGCCATGGGGTGAGCAGAGGACTAGAGTTGCTGTTTCCTCAACAGGAGAAGGGAGAAAGGTGCAATGGGCTTAAACTTGAACAGCCCAGGGGGGAACTTGGACTTAGAGTATCAAGGATGACCTAGGGGAAATAACAACCCCCCCATCTCACCTCTGACCAGTCTCCTGATTTCCACTGTGGACAAGGTAACTCATTGCACCTCTGAATGGTGACTTTATCTTGATGTATGCATTTGCTATCATCCAGGACATCATTTCGTGTGTTGACACAAATAGCCCTTCTCCTCTGGATTCCACCACCACAGCTTTCAGAACACTGAAAAGACAAAAAACTAAATAAAATGGAGTTTCTGATCAAGCATGCTCAAGATCCTGGCTTGTCTCTGCCAGAGCTTAGAAACAGCCAACCAACCAACCAACAAACCAACCATCCTTGGTCAATTCTAATTGTTATTTTGGGACAATCTGTTCAAGTTATCAATTTATTTGCCCAATTTATAATGAAGTCAGTATTAGTGAATGGGCAAAGGAAAGCAAAATTGGAAATGGCCTATGGGGTATGGAAAAAGTTATTGAATAATTTGGTCTACCATTACCAATTTTCCACATGCCATAGCCATGTCAAGCATTACAAATTAATTCTGCTACTCTTTTTCCATACAGCTAAATGGGGCTTCTTAACACAGCCCTAATGAATGAATAAGTTGATTCATTACCATCAACTAATCAGACTTTGCTTTCAAGAAGAATCTCTTTCAGAGAGAATCAACTTACTTCAGTCCAAGCAGAATAGCGCCAGCCTCCTGTGTTACATTCTCCTGAGCATTTTTCCTGGTTGCTTGGTTTGGGGTGACTGCTGCAAAAACTGTCATCCACCTTCTCGATCTTCCCATCTAGCCGGCTATATTTGGCACAGGAGATGTCTAATGTGCGGTACCCTAAACCACACTGGGCACTACATTCACTCCTGCTAGCAACGTGCCACCTGTGCATAACAATGGAGAAAGACCAAGAGTTCTGTCACATGTCTTATCTACACTCAACTGGTGGAAGACTTGAGTTCATTGTTCTTCCTTAACTCCTCAAATACCATGAAACTGAAAGCCACAGTCAGCAACTGAAATTCAATTTTAAACCAACATATTCCTGTAGTTTTTCATGGCCACCAATGTACATGGAAGTCACGGAATGATAACTAGAGGCTCTGTTTTTGTAAAGATTTTCCCATGCTACAGTCAATCAAAAAGTCAAGCAAAAAAAAAAATCTACTGAAATTCAACGGAGGAAAACAAAAGCAATTTTATGTTTAAAAGGTTCACGTTCCACAGCATTTCATTTATCAAGCAGGCTGCTTTTAAGAGAGAACTACTGTAGGAAACTCTCCTCAGAAAATCTCCTTTATGTAGGCCTATGCCAGAGAGTGCTCAGTAAATATCCTGTGAATTTATAAAAGAATGGATAATTTGGACTGTAATTGTGAATTTCAATGTGCTGAACTGTGAGTAAAGGCCTTAAGTTCCTTGAAGACAAGGATCATAGTGCACACAATTCAATTATACATTAAAAAAAATCCTTATTTTTTTAGAGCAGTTTTGGGTCCATGGTAAAGTTGAGAAGAAGAGATTTCTGATAAACCCCTTGCCCCCTCAGTGCACACAATCAACTCTACCACCCGCATCCCCCCAGCATGGCACATTGTTGTAATAGATCAACCTAAACTGACACACTGTTATCACCCAAAGTCCATAGTTTACATTAAGGTTCACTTTCAGTGTTGTACATACCATGGGTTTGCACAAATGTATAATGACATGTATTCATCAGTATAATGTCATAGAGTGTTTTCACTGCCTTAAAAATCTGTGTTCCACCTATTCACTCGTCACTGAATTATACATCTTTATAATTAGACTTGAATCTATAAATCTTTGTCATATACAGTACTTTTCATCTATAGTACCCTATAATGAGCCTTTCTTGGCACATAGTAGGTGCTTAGAATGGGATAATAAATTGACTTGTTTTTTGATGCCCAGGAATATGATCAGTGCTTATAATAAAAAAAATGCTTAAACTGAATAGAATAGTCTAAATAAATACACTAAAAATATTGTGCTGATTAAATCTAACAATTAAAGATTATTTTCTTCATAGTCTTCATTTGGATTTACTCTTGACTGTTAATTCTGTATTGTTCAGAAATTCAGTTGTTTGGCAAACACCAATGCCCTATGAATTCTTCCATGCACACCTGTTCTGGACAAGGATTCAGGAAGTAAACGTGTATTGGATATGGACATGTGCTTATCTTGCAAACCCTCACAAATGTTCAAAAGTAGGCCAGAGTTGACCTACTTTCGTATTCGGCAAGTAAAGTGGGCTACCAAGATTTGCTGTTCCAGTGATAGAATATATTGGGGATTTTGCCCTAACTGGAACATTTATAAATGAGGGGCAGTAAAACAATGCTTTATCCCATCCTGTCCAACTTTAATCTGGGTGAAGCCCTGCTTCCCTAAGGAAGTAAGGCAAAAATATGGACCAATTCAGCAGAGGCATCTGGAACTTCGATCTGCCATTTGATTCTTGACTATCTTCTCTTTGCCTTCCTTACCATTTCCTTGTGGAATGGTTATTTTCCATCCTGGATAAGGGAGGCAAGAGTCCCACCCCACAAGAAAACATCCCAGCAGCTCAGGCTGCAAAACTATAATAGAGTCTTTATGACATTCACACAATCCCTGGAATTTGAGCAGAGAACCTGAAAAGTGCAAAAGGTCATAAAACTGCCTTGGGAAACTTTTCCAAAATAATACTTTGGGGAAAGTTCTTCTCAAAAGTATTATTTGCTTCATAGTCTCTCCCTGGAGGGTTGTCTCAACTTCAGTGTTCTGAATTCATTCAGTTTGTTTCATGCAACGATGGTATTTTATTACCATATTTCAGAAAAGCAAAGTGTTAAGTGGAGACAGAAAAAAAAAAACATGATGTCCCTGTGAGTGTGTGCAGCACTATGGCATTAAATGATTTGGGAGCTACTGGTTTAAGCAGAGTTCTGTACTGCAGAGCTTCTCAGGGCCTTCACAATGTTAGTCAGCTCTGTGAATGTCCACACAGAGGAGGAGATGGTCAGTAAGGGTTCTCCAACATGCTGGTCTGCCACAATTGTCTTGTGGGATTAAGGTTCCACAGACGTGCTTTGGAAAAAACTATTTTAGACTGTAACCAATTAGTAATAATCCTCTCTTCAGTCTTTCAGTTTTACAAATAGCCACTTGACAATAATTAGTACAAATCACAATTATAGCAACTGTCAGGTAGACAGAAGAAAGACAAAACACCTTCTTTGGGCTTGGTTTGTATCTTTTTTTCTCTTTTCTTTTTTTTAAATTTATTTTTTTATTGATTATGCCATTACAGTTGTTCTATTCCCCCCTTCATTCCCTTCCACCCTACCCCTCTATCCCCACCATTACCCCCCCCTTTAGTTTATGACCATGTGTCTCAAGTTCTTTAGATTCTATATTTCCCATACGATTCTTGCCCCCCATCTATTTTCTATCTACTGTCTATGCTACTTATTTTCTGTACCTTCTCCCCCCTTCTCCTCCTCCCACTCCCCTGTTGCTAACCCTCCTTGAGATCTTCATTTCTATGTTTCCGCTCCTGATCTAGCTGTCCTTTTAGTTTGCTTTTGTTTTAGGTGTGGTTGTTAATAACTGTGAGTTTGCTGTCCTTTCACTGTTCATGTTTTTTTAACTTCTTTTTCTTAGATAAGTCCCTTTAGCACTTCATATAGTAAGGGCTTGGTGAGGATGAACTCCTTGAATTTGATCTTATTTGAGAAGCACTTTATCTGTCCTTCCATTCTAAATGAAAGCTTTGCTGGATAGAGCAATCTTGGTTGTAGGTCTTTGGATTCCATGACTTGGAATACCTCTTTCCAGCCCCTTCTTGCCTGGAAGGTCTCTTTTGAGAAATTAGCCAATAGTCTGATAGGAACTCCTTTGTAGGTGACTGTCCCCTTATCTCTTGCTGCTTCTAGGATTCTCTCCTTCATTTTAATCTTGGCTAATGTAATGATGATGTGCCTTGGTGTGTTCCTTCTTGGGTCCAACTTCTTTGGGACTCTCTGAGCTTCCTGGATTTCCTGGAAGTCTATTTCCTTTGCCAGATTGGGGAAGTTCTCCTTTGTTATTTGTTCAAATAAGTTTTCCACTGGTGGCTGTTCCTTTCCCCCTCTGGTACCCCTATAATTCGGATGTTGGAGCGTTTAAAGATGTCCTGGAGGTTCCTAAGCCTCTCCTCATTTTTTTTGAATTCTTGCTTCTTCACTCTTTTCTATTTGGCCATTATTTGCTTTCTTTTGGTCCACTCCATTGATTTGAGTCCCACTTTCCTTTTCATCACTATTGGTTTCCTGTGCAATTCCATTCATTTCAATTAGTTTTGCTTTCATATGTTTCTCTAATTTGTGGCTATAATCAACCAGTTCTGTGAGGATCCTGATCACCAGTGTTTTAAACTGTGCATCTGAGAGTTTTCTATTTCTTCATTGCTTAGATTTATAGGCTTTGGGGATTTGAGATCTTCTTGAGCCATTTTTGGTCTGTTAGTGCCCGTTAAGTATGAGGAGTGGAGCCTTGGACTCCCAGGTCACTGGGTTGTGAGGTTGTATGTCGGGGTGTGGTCAGAGTGGGGAAATGGCGACCCCCTCTGCTGTTTCGCGCCACTGGGTGAGGAGCAGAGCCTTAGGTGGTTCACCAGGGCAGGGCCACTCAGGTCGCTGGGTTATGAAGCTGTATGTGGAGGCGGGGTCAGAGCGGGGAAATGGAGGCGCCCTCTGCTGCTGCTTGCCGCTGGGGCCTGCTGGGTCCAGTCTAATCACCCACTCCCTCGCTTGTCTATCTGCACACGAATGCACGACTACAGTCAACCCACAGCCCTGCTCCCTCGCTGGTTCCCTGCGGTTGCTCGCTGGGTGGCTCACTAGGTCCAACCCTGCACCTGGGTTCCATGCGCCTGAGTCTGTCTGACCAAGTTTTCCTGTGCAACCCTGCTCCGCCAGCTGCTGGTTTCACCCCTCTTACCAGTCAGGCTGAAGAATTTGTTGTTATTAGACTTCCAAAAAGTTCAATTTTCTGTGTTCTGGTTGTGTTTTCTGTTGCTAATATTTAGTTGTCTCTAAATTTGGTTGTGTGAGAAAGCACGGCGTCTCCACCCATGCCTCCATCTTGGCAGAATTCTCGGTTTGTATCTTTGTATGCTTTTCTGTGAACAACTTTATTTTTCCAACAATCCATAAAAGCCATAAAGATATGAGTGAGTGATGACAAATGAAAACAATCTTCTATTTAATTTTAGATATAAGCATACACGTGTCTAGTTATTATTAGGCTTTATAAGCTAATCCTAAATTTCCCTTTTCTTCCTTCCATTTTTAAATTCTTACTCATAAGCTGTTACTTGTACCAGACATTTCTACCAAAAAACACAGCTACAATTCCTTCACCTTCTTTTCTTTAATCAGCTAGAGGTGCTACCATCATTGAAGCCTGTTCCCTGAGCTGCTGTTTTCATTTGGTTTCAGTAGAGTCTAAGTATTTCTTTTTTAAGTATAAAAAACGTTGACTTTCTCTGAATGGGAAATTTAGAATAGCAACTTTGATGCACCTACTATATAATGAAATAAGACTTTAAGCCCTGGTTTTACCTAGGTATTATGAAATGATTTTTAATAAAAGTTAGAGAATGAGTTATAGAATCAGAAAGAGCTGGTGTGAATGCAAGCTCTAACACTTTTAGGTATTTACCACAGGTAAGCAACTTAACTTCACCAAGCTTCAGTATCCTCATCTGTGAAATGGGGGAAAATAGGATCCATTTCCCAGGGCTACTATGAAGATTATGAAGCAAGGCATACATAGCACTTAACATGACGGTATATGGCACCCTCTCAAAAAAGTAGCTATTATTATTATTATTATTGCCACTACTACTACTATTACTACTACTACTACTGGATATTTTATTCACAGCCAACTTCAAGTATCATATAACTCCACATAAACAAGGGGTGTCAAACTCATTTTCACTGGGGGCCACATCAGCCTCGTGGTTGCTTTCAAAGGGCCAAAATAATTTTAGGACTGTATAAATGTGACTACTCCTTACCTGTTAAGGAGCTGAAATTACATTCAGCCCTTTAAAGGCAACTGCGAGGACGTGGGTTTGACACCCCTGACATAAATCAATAACACAATTTGAGGAGATATCCAGTTAAGATCTTCCATACAATTCTACAGAAAAGTCTCATGGATTCAAGGCTACCTTTCAATGTATTTGTTTTCTAAAATTTGCGTTAATATTTGGTTTATGTCTGAAAGCTTCAAGTGCCAGAGAGACTTTGGAGAACATTGGATTAGCCAGCATCATTACAAACTACATTGTGGCTTATTGTGGAATCTGTTTGAAGTGCAAAATTTTAGTTTCTTGAAGTAACAGTTCAAACATTAATCTCCATCATGAAATTGTTGCTTCATGGGTAAACTTAAGCAGGGTTCTTAAAAAATCTTTTCTTTTTTATGGTCATGTTCCAGTACTTGAAATGCTTTGCACTTCCCTACAATTATAATTGTCATCCCTACAATTATAAGAGCATGCTTAGTGCTACAGACAGAAGTCCCACAATATCTGCATTTACCTTTCGGAACTGCCCTGTCACCAGACTCTCCTGGTCTGATTCCATGCAGAAATGACAGAGAAGGGGTCTAAGTAAGATAGAGAACAGGGATGGGGCAGAAAACTCCTGGGAGTTATTTCTTTTCACAAAGAAAGAAAAGCTACACAAAATGAAATCAGTGAGTATTGCTAATTATGCCTGAATTAAAAATGAAAATAGCTTTCTCCAAGGTTTTAAGAATTCAGGCTCAAGGATCAAACAGAGCATGTTTAAGCCCCACCTTTTCACTAACTAGTTGTGTGACCTTGGGCAGTTTGCTTAACTTTTCTCAGCTTCTGTTTTCCTTATCTGTTAATTTAGAATAATAATAAAAATGCCTATGTCACTGTGTTGTTTAGTAGGTTACTAATAAGATAATTAATAGAACATTAATTTAATATGATATTAATTAATTAATAAGATTTATATATAAAAGAACTCTTACTAACATAAGACTATTAATAAGATAATATATAATTGTTAAATGTAGTCCTTAGTAAATGGTTGACTCTATTATTACTTTCAGAGTAGTTATCACTCTGAATAACATAATTATTATTAATGTTATAATGGTGTTTTCAGTGATAACTGATATAAGGCTAATTATAAAATGTCACCTTCCCCAGTTTATTGAGGGTGTGCTTCAAGGACTCTACCCTCCAATTCAATGTTTCCCCTCTAAACTTTAGTGATTGATTCAGGTCAGCATTAACTAGCTAATTATTTTTCTAAAAAGATTTTTAACTCTAACTTAACTCAATTCGCTGAAGCAATGGGTTCATATGGATGTTATCTATAACAATAAATACTGCCTAGTATAAATGTCTGCGTTTTAATGCCTTGGGTTTTTCTTTCTACAATGACCTCCATCAGTGCTTTTTGACAAGCCATGAGAAAGCACATTAGTGACACTGAGTGGAGAGGAAGTGTTGTGGGATGGAAAGAGCCAGGGCTTTAAAGTCAGAGACTTCAGATCGGGACTGGCAAAGATGTAACACTTATGCTATGTCTCTCCAACCTATTCCTGTGACAGACATGACTAATTGATGACAGCACTGCTCTTCTCTCTTATAACCTTGAGAATGCCTTACTATTTTCACTCCAGCACTACAGGCTGCCAATACCACTTAAGAGGATTTGGCATGATGATATGGAACATGAAAATGCTTGTCCATCTTGCTTCTCATGAATGGTGAGACCTTAACAGATTTCCAAACTATTCTACATTTATATGTGTGTGTGTGTGTGTGTGTATATATATTTCTGTAGAAGGAGGTTAAAGCACCAACTCATCTTACCAGCATTTAACTGATATGTAGACTATCCAATGCAACTTCCAGGTTACTTAATATTCAAACACAACACAGTCAACCTTGCAGGCAAATGGGGAAACTAAAGAATTTTGCACCCATCACTATTTTTTTGGCTCAGATTTCAGATTTCTCTTAGATAAAAAAGTGAGTGGATATTTAGACATTTATATACAGATTTTCTTCTAATTCCTTCTATGACTCTACCTCAGTACACTGTAACTTTCATGTGCATAAGAGTTCTACCGGGGCTTATATACTCTGGGTGAGTATAGAACATCACAGGTATTTTGAATAATAAAGTTTCCCCCTTATCTGTTGACTTTCAAACTAAACCTTTGCATAAGATGTGACTCAACCATAATAATGCCCACAGGAAAATAATGCCCACTTGCCAAAAACAGGAAAACTGTTTTTGGCAAGTGCCATGTTTTACTAGTTGGTTTTAATCCTTAAGAAAGGGATAAGATGTTTGCAGGTGTATGTGTTGGATTATCAGTTTCAGAGGGATGGGAAATTGGTTAATGCTTCATTTCACAGAAACACAAGGAAGGGGATTAAAGCCCAACACCCCGTGCACCTGCTCCTGCTCCTGTTCCTGTTGCTCACATGCAGAGACCTCCTGCAAGACCCTCACAACTCATTCGTAAAGACCATGGGGAAACACTGGCCTTACCTCAAATCACAGTCTGTGCCACAGGGTTCAGTGATGGGTCCTGGCTGGGGCAGCCGATAGCACCTTTGATCAGAAACTGCAAGCTGATCAGATTCCCTGGTACAAACAGGTTTTCGTTTCCGCTCCCCTAAGCAGCAGGAAAAATTAGAGAGAGTATCCTATTCCACTTACTATTTAGACCAGGGATTGGTAAACATTTCCTGTAAAGGATTAGATAGTAAATATTTTTGTAGGCCATACGACCTTTGTTGAAACTACTCAGCCCTGCCATTATAGGGCAAAAGCAGCTGCTCACAGGCAGCATGTAAAAACTTGGTGTGTCTGTGTTCCAATAAAATTTTTATTTATAAAAGCAGGCAGTGGGCTGGAATTGGCCCACTGGCTATGGTTTGCCAACCCCTAATTTAGACAAAAGGAAACAAAATAAATAACATATCATACAACTCCCAAATCTATGTTTCTGGAAAGTCAAAGTGACAGCTGATTCATTTGGCTTCACACATGTGTGTGGACCTCTCAGGATGAGAAACCCCTAACAGGATCCCAAAGACCTAAAAAAGCTTAACAGGCCGACCAAAAGTGATGAGACAGACTCAGTACAGAGGTTAGAGAATGCATGCAGAGAGAAAGTTGTATAAAGAGCATGCATATTTGACTGTTTCTTTAAAAAATTTAAAAACACCTTAATTCTTTTTTTAACTCAAAATATCTCAAAGTGAAACAAATCAAATAGAGAAAGAATGATGTGACCTCACTTATATGTGAAATCAAAAAAGAATACCAAACTCAGAGAAATAGAGTTCAGAAAAGTGGTTGCCAGAGGTGTGGGCAGAAGGTAGGGGGTGGACAAAATGGCTTGAAAGTGGTCAAAGCTACAAACTTTCAGTTACGAGATAAATAAGTCCTGGGGCTGTCACGTGCAGCATGGTGACTGTAGTTAATAATACTGTCTTGTCTATTTGCAAGTTGCTAAGAGAGTAGATCTTAAAAGTTCTCAGGGCAACAAAAAAATTGTAACCATGTGTGATAATGGATGATAACAAACTTATGGTGGTAATTATTTTGCATTTATTAAATCATTACATTGTATACCTTAAACTTATAGAATGTTATGATATCAATCATATGTCAATCAAACTGGAAAAACAAACAAACCAAAGGAGTACCTCCAATCCCCCAAACTCAACCTAAAAGCTGATACCTTGGCAGGGTTTGCTGCAGGCCTGCCAGGGCCCGTGAATGTTCCAGTAGAAGTGCTGGGGCTCATCTTCTATTGGAATGTTGAAGGAATAGCGCACATCGGGGTTGTGCAGCTTCCCCACCGACAACACCTGGGATGTTCAGACAAAAGGGAGATGATGTCTGCAAGTCTGTCTGGTCATCCCGAGTGGAGGAAAAGGGTTGTGGGCTCGTGGTCAAGATTTTACCTGAAGCAAAAGGTCTTCTTCAATGCGATCTGTGCAGTTAATTCTCTCGACTGCATTGTAAGACCCACTGTATTCTAGCAGAGTATTCCCAACATAGATTTCCTTTTTGGCCATTGTGACAACAAAGTCTCCATTTAGCAAGAATTCACCTGTGCTGTTTGATAAAGCTGTAGATGAGAAAGCAGAATACACTGACTTGCTGCCAACTCAATGTATAAAATACAAAATAACACTTTGTTAAAGGATCCATAGTAATGGACAATAGGGTGGGGAATGACTGAGGGAGCAGGGCTGGGTGGGGGTGGGCAAGGCAGGGGAGAGCAATGGGGGAAAATTGGGACAACTGTAATTGAATAACAATAAGAATTTAAAAAAACAACACTTTGACAGAGAGTCAGAGTGCAAAGAACATGGACTTTCAGGCAAATAGGCATGGACTCAAATCCTAATTTTGCCTCTCGCTGGCTATGTGTCCTTGGGGAATCACTTTCTCTCACACACTCTCCATTTCTTTATTTCTAAAACAGATAGCAACACCACCCTTCAAGGTGACTCTCAAAATTAAGAGACAATATAAGCATCCTAATTAGCCTAAGGTTTGTTACACAAGCCTCACAGTTGCAGGATTACAGAGGGAAGCAGAAGTGTTAGGATTTGAAAATATTTACAATGAACTAAACATGTACAAAATTGGCTGTCACACGAATATCCCTCTCTATTTTACATTACAGTTAGTTGGGATTATTAAATCGATGTTAGTCTTCTTTGACAGATGTGAAAATCTGAAAATCCACAGTCAATGTGATGCTACAATGTCACTTTTTCGGTGAGGCCCACAGTAGTGACCAGCCTCCGATACAGGCCCAATGACCTTTGCCTTCTCCAAGTCCCCTCGTGTGTCATTCCCTCCCACACTGAATAGCACTGACTGTGTTGTCACTAGGACATTGCAGAAATGACAGTGTGACTTCCAAAGCCAAGTCAAAAACACTGTGGCTCCACCTTGCTCTTCCTTCAATCTCTGGTCTTAGGAAAAGCCAGCCATCATATTGTAAAGAAACCAAAGCAGCCCCATTGAGGGGCTTGTTGGAAATAGCAGCAAAGAACCCAAGCCTTCTACCAACCTGTCAAGTTTCAGATCCCGTCACAGTCTTGACTGCCATGTCATGAGACATCTCAAGCCAGAAACACCCAGCTAGGCTGCTCTCAAACTCCTGTCTCACAAAAACTGGGGCACAGCTTACATTTGTTTTTCTAAGCCATTGTGTTTTGAGATCATTTGTTAAACCATAAAAGCTGTTCAACAGACTTGCCCAGATCACTATTTTTTAAAGCTGCAACACCCTGCCCCTGCCAGCACAGATGCTCACTTCCTACACCATTTCCTGCCTTCCTTTCTTCCTGCGGCACTTTGTTGATGGGCTCTCTCCCCAAACAAGAATGTCTTCCCCGTGAGGACAAGGATGTAGGGACGGCCCTATTCACCTCTATGCACATCCCAGCTTCCGAAAGAGAACTTGGTGCAATAGATGCTCAATAAATACTTTGGAAGAATAAATGAAGCTACTGCAGACCTTGCAAAAGATGAAACAAACAGTAAAGCTGAAAAAGTAATGTTGGAAAACTGCCTGCAACGAATGCCAAAATGTTGGCCAACAAAGAACCTGACAGACTAGTGAAAAACGTAGGAAAGAAAACAGACAAGGAGAATGAGGTGACCTCTGCTTTCAGAAGAATAATTTGTTTATCAAGGTGTCAAAAGAGACCATTGTGAAAGTGAGTAAAGCCCCAGAAGTCTTTTTAAAAAATGATTTCCTTTCAGAATTTACTGTTAAAAATTCAAATGTTAAATGAAGAATATACTACTCTGATATATGACTTGACTGGAAAGCTCAGCAAAAAAATTTATCAACTGGTTTTTTCTCCATTCTCAAAACCTGGGCACGGCAGAAATTAAAATGTAATTTCTTTGAACCTAAGAATAAGAAAAATAAATGTATTCTCATACTTTTTGATCAGTTTCTTTCCCCTTAGTATTTATGATTAAAATTTTGGTTTTAAATAGTAGTGCTCCTACTCCACAGTACCCCTGCTCTTTGAATAATGAATCCTCCTAAGTATTGGGCTGGACATGAAGTAGGCACTCAACAGATCAGAGCTATTAAACATTCAGGCTCTGAAAAAAATACTAGAGAAAAGCCCCCTTATCCTTTATAAATTGTACATGATTAGCAAATATCAGCAGGAAAGGAACCCTTGAAATGTCCAGGCTATGTGTTTAGGTTAATAAGGGGAACATGGAAATTTAACTGATGGTTAGCAAATAGGTTTTGTCCTGAGCACCAATGCCCACCAGTTGACACTAACTGACCAAGAAACTATGCAGGACAGGAGTCATTGGCAGCTTCATGTCTCAGCATCATTTTAATGAAAATTTGTCTTGGTTGTGGGATGGGGAGTGGCCCAAATGTCCTAATCCTAAGTGTTTGCCAGATCATCATCTGTCTTTCATCAACACAGATAGTGCAATGTCTTTCACTGTGCAGGCAGAAGCAATGTGTACGTAGGAGAGGTTTAGAGGATTTAGGGGGAAGTAGGTATGTAACCCTTACGTGGTGATCAAAGAGGGCTGAGACAAGCTCTGAATGTTCTTTGTGGCTCAGTAGCAGTAAGGTGCTTGCTCTCCTGCACAGGTGAACCTCACAGAGCTCACTAAACTGAACACGGTCCTGATACAAAGACCGCTCTTTGCAGGGTCAGGAATTAAGCACTGAATTCTAACCGTAATCCAGCACTTCACTATCACAATTCCCACCCAAGTAAGCCCCATCTGGGCCTTGAGGGAAGAATAAGATGCTTAACATGAAATGGTGGGGAAGAATGTAGCAACACAGGAAAAAAACTTTAAAAAAGATTTAAAAAAACCCTCCAAAATCATGGCTGCTTTTTCTTAGCTCAAAATTCTTTGGTAGTCCCTAATACCTACAGAATTTTAGTTCAAATTCCTTAAAATAACTTTTCTATATCTTTACAAATCTTATTCTGACCTATTTTTCCAGCCTAACCATTCAGTCCCACTGATTAACCTCGATTTCCAGTCACGTGTATCCCTGTCTGGTTAGTCATACAGTTTTCTACAGAGAGGCAGAAACTGAAGTGGTTAAGGGTGTAGGATCTGAAGTCAGACCGACAAGGATTCCAATTCTTCCTTTCTGTTTGTGTGATCTTGAGTAAGTTACTTAACCTCTCTAAGCCTCAGTTTCTTCCTCTGTAAAATGGATTTCCCACAGGATTGTTAAGAACATTAAACACAATAGTACACACAGGCTTCTGTTCCTGAGAGATCATCATCCCTTTATATGCACTGTCGCCTTACCATATCTTTATTGATGCCTAATGTACGAATGAGAAAAGCATGACTTAAATAACAGTAAAACATTTTCCCAGGGCCAGATGACTTTCCATCATGGAAGTCTGTCTCCAAAGCCTGTTAACTATGAAAGTTTCCCAGGAAAGATGTCAACAAATGTTTGTTAAATGAGTAAACAAATTCATGCATTATTTTTCCTATGTACAAACAGAAACCAAGTATGTTTAGCTATGAATTTTTTTCAACTTAAATACTTTGCTTTTGCTAGGCTGCATAAGCCCCTGTAGTAAAATTGCCATTTAAAAATGTACTTTTATAATGCCAAGAAAGATCCTAGTCCATAGTAGGTGCTCAAACAATAATGTGGAAATGAGGAGTGAATGACTGAACCTGACATTCATGACTGCTTCCTGCCAAGTAACTGTTTTTTTTGTCAGCGTGAACCTCTGACAACCTCATCTCTCCTGCAACTTCCACCATATGAGACCCAGCAGCCAGGCAAATGCACAAATTTCAATGGGTCACTGATTGGACATGAAGTTGTTTCCATGGCACCTGGGGCCTCCTGCAGCTGCCTCCTACTGTGGCTCCCTTACGTGGTGATGGCAGGACATGCTGCCAGCAAAATTACCCAGTTCTTTCAAGTGAAGTGGGTACTAACTGCCCAGTCGATGTTTCCCTAAAGTGGGGAAATGAGATGTCACAAGGCCAGTCTGTAAATTAAGCTATAATTCAATTTTGTTCATATTCAAAGAGCAGCCATTTATTTTAGGTCAACTCTGGGGCTCTTTTCCAAAGTCTCCAGGCTTCTTCTTGTACTCTTGCTAACTTGATCATTTCACCCTCACTGTATCCCCTTATCCCAGAGACGGTGAGTAAGGAATGAGATAGGAGTCACTGCGTGAAGTGACGTTCCGCTTTACCTTGAACTGAATCGATTCCTGTCTTCCCATTGCTACAATTAATCAAGGGCTACATGTACTGGAGACAAATAAGTATCACAGAAACCACTCCTTTTTCTCCTCAAGAAATACCATCATGGTGGTACTGGGTACAGCCTGGCTTTAACTCAATGGGAGGGAGGCATCTGTGTGAAAGAGTGACCTTTGACAGGGAGATTTTCTGCTTCAGTACCTTGTGAAACAAATAGTTTCCTGAAAATAACAGTCTATTGCCCAACCTCCTGCTAATGTGATTAGAGGAGCTAATTTCCTGGCTTCATTTCCCCCACATTTCGCCCATCAGAGCTGGGTCGCGACAAAGACCCTCTCTCTCCTAGAAATGGCTCCCTCCCCAAAACATGGAGAAAGAATATGGATGGGGTGACCTTACAAAGATTATGGGGGGTAAGGATGAAGATTGCTTAGCAATGAAACAGCTGTGAATACACTTGAGAAAGGTCTAGTAGTGGGTTTTTAGACCTTCTTAGAGCATTTACTGCACCTTTCTTGAAGTCAAGAGCAAACTTTCACACATACCAGACCTGATGACATCATATTCTTCCTAACTTGTTAAGAAACCACTGCCAGGCTCAAAGGCTCCGAACTCTCACCCTTCACACTCAGTGACCTGTGACCTGCCATCTCTGCCTGCACACTTGTCATGTGCATCCAGAGACATGTTCTTTTGCTAACAGATGAGTTGACCATTCCATTCCATTAAAGAGCCATGACTGCCTCAGACTGCCTGTCCCAGATGACAAGTCTTTAATTCTGCTTTCATTCTTTACCAAAAGATTCAGAAACCTTCAGTGAGGAATAAAAGGTTATCAGAAGGCCTTCCTCACTTCAGGTACCTGACCTGATTAATGAAGTTGAATTGAATTGAGGCCCCTACCTTAAAAAAAAGATTATTTTTTCAAGAAAAAGAAGAGTAAGGGAGAATCCTTCTCCCTTTCAGGGAAAAGAAAGGAGGTCAACATGGCTTTCAGGTCTCAGGAAATTAATTTATAAAGGAGGTCGTATGCAATGCTGCTGGATTTAACTAGAAAGTAGTAAGGTGACATGCTCAAATTAATAACCCAATGTATGAAGAAAAATGTTTAACCCATTTTCACAGTGATAGAATGACAAGTGTGGGATTGTCAAAAAATAATAATTTGAAAAGAACCCCCAAGACCTTTGTTAACTGTCTTATAAAGTTGCCACTCATTTAGATACTTAGGATGTGGAAAGTTGATTTAGCCACTGAGTAATTAATTCCAACTAAGACTTTATGTTCTTCAAAAGAAGGGGTGACTCTGTCTATTTCCATGGTAATCCCATCCCCCATTAAGCACACAGTAGGTACTCCTTAATGAGAAATGGTTGTTCAGCAATTCAGTAATCATGTACTTAGCATCATGTGTAGGCTTTATATCAAAAGCTACAGATATAAAGACACAGCCTCTGACTTTAAAACCTAGTGGTCACATGATAGATAAAATACAATTTGTCCCATGTTTGTCGATGGCCACTTCATCCTCTCAGTTGCTCAGGTCCAAACCTTGAAGTCACACTCTCTTTCTCTCACATACCATAATCAATCCATCAACAAATCATAATGCCTCTGCCTTCAGAAGTTTACCATGTACCATACCTCTGCTGCAACCACTTGGGAACAAACCACCAGTGTCCCATGGATTATGGCAGTAACTTCCTAACCTAGTCTCCTGCTTCTGCCCTATACCCTCCCCAATCATCTATTCTTAACATACCAGCTAGAGTCCTTTGAAAAATAAACACAATTATATCATGCTATTACTCACTCAAAACCCCAGGTAGTTCCCCATTTCTCTCAGTATAATCCTTTCAATGGTTACCTGGCCCTTTCTGATCTAGCCCTGATACATGTTTAAACTAGTCTAGGATTCTCTGTGCTCACTCTGCTCCAGCCACACTAGACTCCCTCTACTCTTGGAACAATCCAGACATGCTCCTCCTTCAAGGATCTCGGACTGGTTGTTCCCTCTGCTTGGAATATTCTTCCATCAGGTATCTTGTTACCTTTTACTACATTTCAGATAGTTCAACATCACTGTTCCCAGCCCATCCTCAATATCCCTATTTCCATTATGCTGCTCTATTTTCTAATAGCCTATTATCATCTTCAAACACTATGTAGTTTGCTCATCTATTAAGTTAATGTCTATTTACTGTAGTGATTCTCAACCAGTGTGCCCTAAGAATTTCAAAACATGCAATACTTAACTACTGAGTCAGGGGGACTGACCTCTTCTCTTTTAGATGATCAAATTTAAAAAATGACCAATACAACAATTGCAATCCTGCGTGAATGAATAAAAGTTATACCTATTTTGCCAGATCAGCATAAAATATAATATATTTTTGGCATGCTGCAGAATTTTAGTAGTTGGTGTATGTGTGCCATGAGATGAGCAAAGTTGAAAATCACTGCTCTACCCCTACCGAAAAATTAGTTTCAAGAAAACAGATTTTTATTTATTTTTAATTTTTTCCATTTTGTTATTGTGCTTAGCACATATGAAATAAATGGCTGATTGAATGAATAATGGCACACTGAAGAAGACACTATAATGGAGTCATGTCTAAATACTGTATTTAATTAGCATGCTTGGCCCAAGGATCACTGTCTATCTGATGAAAGATTTCATACAGACATTCAGAAATATAGAAAGAGGTTTTAATTTAAGTAATACTCATTTACTATTTCAGTATGCTCAAATGTTTGGAGAAGCCGCAACAGAGATTGTATTCAGGTGGGTAAATAGAGTTCCTGTCTAGACATTATAAGACAGAATGTATATTAGCACATTCATTTCTTTTAAAAACTGAATGCCCAGCCAGGCTGCCCTGATTTCATCTAGATTGGAGTGCAAGCCATGCTGCTTTTCATGGCCAGGACGACTCTGGCTGTGCAAGTTGGTTGTGACCAGTTGAACCCCTTTCTATCATGACACCATGTCCATGTACTCTTTTTAATTAAAAATGGCTGGCAAATTTCATAATCACTAATTGCAGTTTATGGAATGATAAATTGAAGTGAGAGTGGGCTGAGCAAACTGTTGAAAAATGAACACAGGGTTGTTGGTGTCTTGTGGTTTAAATATAAGGAACAGATATGAATTAATCATGTGCCTGAGCATGGTGAGAGAAGGATGAAGAATCTGTAAAGTAACAAGGTGGGCCATTCTAGTAATGACATGAGAAAAATATTACCACTATAGAACCTTTTAGAATGATCAGGCATATTGAAATACTGAATAAGTCCACCAGAGGTCTGCTCTTGGTTAGAGCTGATAATGTAAAAATTGTCAGGTAATACCTCTAATAAAACATTTGCAAGTCAGTTATCCACAGGATAGATTATTTGAAAAAGACTCAAAGAGTAATGATTTTATGCTAACTTATAAGGCAAGTACTTCAAAATTTGATTTAGGGCCTTTCTATTTTTTAAGACACAGAGTAAAGTCCTTGATATTGACTAGTATAACTACGTGACTCTTAAATCAATGCTCTGAGTGTGTACATATCAGGGAGAAATGAAATAGTGAATTTCAAGATCAATTTCTTTTATGAGAATACATGACACCTGAAAGCTCTCCATGTGCAATGGGGAAAGGAAGTAGTTAGTATCTGCCAGCTGCTCCAGAAAACCAGATTTCCTGCAAATAGTAGGGGCACCATCTCACCTAAGTAGTTATCATCCTCTGGTCTCCCTGAGAAGCTGTGCTGCCGCACATCAATACTGGTAGCACCAGCTGGAATCCGGACCACTGTATTATAACCTGAAAAGAATGAAGCAGAAATTCAGTATTCCATAGGACGGTTCACTTTCTCTAAGCTCAGAAAAAAGTGTGGGAGACAAAGGAATATAATGTAGCTCTCACTACGGGTGCCTTATAGACAGATGGGTAATGCAACTCAACAAGATTGATCTTACTGCTTGACATTACTTTTTACATATTACATATGGTGAACGATTGTCACACTTGGAACACTTTCTCTCTCATGGTTGTTAGGAACAGAATCTTACCATATTTTGCTGTATTAAATGTTCCTGCCACTGTTTTGCATGAAGAATTATCGCCACCACACACCCCACATTTATCTTTCCGGGCTTTTGAGTTTAAAACATGATCACATCCAGCTTGCTTTTAAAAAGAAAACATTTGAAGTAAGTATTGCTTCAATAGTCTACCTCCATATAATGTTTATTATAATTATAATTAAACATTACAATAAGTATTATAAAGATTATAAAACAATAAGCTATGTGTTTCTTTGCATGATGTACCTTCAAAATGACAACCAAGTTAAATCTCTTTAAGCTTGCAAGGGTTGAGAACTCAAACTTGCTATGGAAAATATGGTCCTTGGACCAGCAGCCCTGAGCATCCCGGGTGCTGTGAGAAAGGCAGATTCTTGAGTCCCACTGAGATCTATTGAATCACAGTAGATTTTCTCGCAGGTTAACAAGCTCCTTAGGTGCTGCATCTACAGATTCAAGTTTGACAAGCACTAGTCTACAGATAAGTGGAGTAAATGAAAATAATCACTTGGGATTGGAAAAAAGGAATCAGTGAGGACTGTACCTAATTAAAGAGCTCACATCCTATCTTAAGGGAGCAGCTGCTGTGCACTCCAGGCTACTTCCACCATAAAGAAACAGGAGCCTAGTGTTGACATTTCCCAATTTTTCAAGACAAGCTGGAAATCTTATTTTATGTGAAGTTGCCTATGGTTAAATATTGACCATGAATGGAGGACAAAGATGGCTGCAGACCACCACTTTGAGGCTTGAGGCTCCAGATATCCTCCTGAATTTCTTCACATCTCAATGCAAAGCACAAGTGTAGACAACAGCAATAACCAGAAGACCAGGAAGACAGAGTTCACATTCTCATCCATATGATTCCTTTGTAAAACTAGTCTCCAAGGAGAAACTCAAGTGCTACTATAATGTGAACTGACAAGGAGGCAGTATGCACTGTAAGCCATGAACTGGGAAGTGGGAATGCTCTCAGGTGCTCTGTCAATCAGATCCTCCTGATCAAAAGCTCAAATCTGCAATGGACCATGTGAAAGAAACAGACATAGCAGCTCATAGGTCTGCTGTGTTAGGAATGATTTCTGACTGTGAGCCCAGTGAAATGGTATGAAGTCCTTGAGAAATCACTGCTCTAGTGCTTTACCATTGGTCAGAAATTTCTGGATTTCTCTTTGAAGGGTAAATAACAGGCATGACTCAGGCAAAAGCTATCCTGCTTAAATTCAGAAAGACAAATCTGAGTGAGGCCAGCTCTTCCTCATATGATCATTCTGAAGCAGAGCTATTCATCTTAGAAACTGCTGTTAGGAAGCATTTGGCTCTAACCTTAAGCACCGAGGTTACAATACAGTAAAGAAGTGTTTGTGTAAATTATTGCAATAAATCTTCACAGGGAGGTTTTGTGCAGACCCCCCAGAGAGGCTGATAATGTCAAGAAAAATCCAGAGCAGTGGTTCTCAAACTTTGGTATGCATCAGAATCAGGGGATGCTGATGCTGCTCTGGGGACCTCACTTTGAGAACCACTGCCCCAGAGACAGTGCACAGGAATTAGCAGCTGCTACCCTGTCAAGAAAGCCACAGACCGCAGCTTGGCAGTAAGACAACACAGTGACAAAAACACCATTTGGTACTTACCCGGCAAAGGCCTTGGACACAGATATCACTGGTGTTCTCACCACATGGGGTCCCATCTATCACTTTGTCTCGGAGCTGATAATAGACTGTGCTCCCTACCACCCTGCAGAACAACCTACATCGGTCCTTCAACAAAACTAGAGAGGAGAGACATAATGCAGTGTGACTTTCGAGCCTGGACCCACACCAACCTGCCAACCATGCACACAACCCCTAGACACTTACTTCCACTGTACTTAGGCACCCAGCGCACATTTGGAGGTAGACCGTTGATATTAAAATGCTTCCCATCAAACTGAGAACACTGTTCCTCTCGGAAGTCTCGAATCTGCTTGAGACATGGCTCTGTGTTGCAAGACTTAAATTTCATTCTATTCCCTATACAGTACTTTCCACCGTTTTTCGGCCTGAGAAAAGGTAAAGAACACACATACTCTCTTATAATGTATTTCTCAAGCATCACTCTCTTATCTGTGGCATCCTGTGTTGCAGGGAAGTAAATTTGAAGTAGCTGGAGACAGAGAACAGGACAGGGGCTCTAAAATCTGGGTTTGCATTCTGCCTTCAACACCATTTAGTGTCTAAACTTGGGCAAGTCACTTAACCTGGAAGCTCAGTCCTTCCCATTTGTGAAGTGGGAAGGTACTGTTTGGTAAGGCTGTTGTAAAGATAAAGTACTAGAATGTGTTGCTTAAAGGATGAAATACAAAGCCTGTGTATTTCATACTTTATGAAATGGAATCTATTGTGTCATTTTGTCTCTTCTTTCTCTCAAACATTCACAGTCCCTCAATTTAAAAATATAGAAGGTGAAAGGTAGAGATGAGTAAATGTACCCTACTTTCCTACTGATGTTCTCATGGTAAACCACCCCAAACCTTTGCATCCCACTTCCATGCATTCTGTTCCTCCTCTTTCCCCACCAACAACCATGGTTTTTGTTTGTTTTAGAAATAAGATGGAATAAAGGGAATGGGTTTGCCTGTATTTTGACTAAATTAATAAGAGAAGCAGGAGAGAACATATTGGCTTCATGACCTTTTGTGTGACAAGAGAATGGAGTATGTCTTACAAAGTACCACAGTGCAGATTTAATTTCTACATGCAACCTGTACATGTATTTTCCAGATGTGACCCAGAGAGTAAATTATACAACACGTCTCCCAGCAGTCAACAGCTTGCCAAATTCATCAAGGAAACTGGAAGATCACAGAATCATAGGAAGTCTGGCTCACCCACCCAGGGCTGGAGCAACTCAGATTTCACTGCTACCCTAGGACACCTCTCAAGCCTACCCACCTTTCTTTCTTCTCAGAAATGAATCTGTCAGAGTGATTTGGACCAAAAAGACATGTTTTTCATTTTGTTTTGTTAAACCAGGCCTTGGGAGAATAGGAAATATATCCAAGCCCATACAGTACAAAATAAGAGGCAGCCTAGCAGAACCGGTAAGAGTTGGATCTGGCTTCTACTCTTCCTCTGTCCTCACTGTGTGACCTTAGACAAAGTTCTTAGTCACCCTGCACTTCAGTTTTCTCCTTCCCTAAAATAAGTGCACACAGTAGATACCTGAAATATTAACTACTATGATATTATATGAGTATTCCCAATCTAATCTGATGCAATTCAGCAGTTTGCTTGTTCTGAGCACCAAACCTGAGCTGCAACAAGGTTTGCATTGTGAGGTGGGACTCAGTGCTTCTGCAGAGCGCCCAAGTCTCAGGAAGGGCTACGTGGCCATGACGCTATCATAAACATGTTCCCTCAATCAAAGATTTGTAGAGTAAGGAAAGAGCATAAGCTTTGCACTTACAAGCTGGGCACTTCTATGTAAACTCCCTGGCCTCTCTGAGCTCTGTCCTGCACATGTAAAACAGAGATGATACTGTGCCCATGAAAGGCTTGTTATGTATCTGAGTCTGATAAATATTTATTATGAAGAAGACTGTACCCAGTGATGCAAAATGGCACATAACCCAGCAGTATCTGATTGTTTTCCCATTAAACACAGTTAGGCCCATAAGCTTTATATCTGCATTGTGCATTTGAATAGTCAAAAGTCACTCATGTTTTGCTCAAGAGAAAGGGAGAAGTAGTTTTATACCAAGCAAGAGGAGGTTACGAGACACTGAATACTTTGCTCAAGGTCACACTGATAATAAAAAATCAGAGACAGGACTGGAAGTCAAGTTTTCCAGGTTCCTTCTCTATGCTCCTTCTGCTACGTCATCTAGGTGCTATAGTCCAGAATCTTTTATATGTCTCTTTTGATGCCATTTAGAAATACATACAACCTTGGTCTCCTGGATACCAAGCTCTTCTCTCAGTACAGAGGCACCCAGTCTCATGCATAAAATATCTACTAATAAGCCCACAAGCTGTCAAGTGATTGGCCCACCCTTCCATGTTTCCTCAAACTGAAATGATCTTTGTGAATCTTTCTAAATGGCCCGACTAAGTGGATTGATCATTTATTTATTGCCTGAAAATAATTCACATCTTTTTCTCTTTGAAAATAAAATTTTTTAGAAGTTGATTTTTTTCTTTTGGTTTTGTTACATAATGAGTCTTAGCTGACTTTTGCAGTTGACCAAACGCAGCAGTGCTTTGAGTTGCAGATTGTTAATGCTCGTAGGTGGCTTTCCTGCAGATAATGACACTTGCCATCTCTGCTTGCTTGGACCACTAGCAAATGACAAATGCATTTAGTGATTTATTTTTATAAATGACTTTTTAAAGAGAGGAGGGGAGAGGGGGATAATAGGGAAAAATAGGGAAAGGGCCATCCAGGAACATGTAAAAAGGACACATGGACAAAGCCAAAGGGGGTAGATTTGAGGGTGGGAGGCAGAGATGGGAGGAGGGTGGAGGTGGGGGGTGAAAATGGAGACAACTGTACTTGAACAAAAATTTTTAAAAAGCACATGGAAAACTCTCTATGTCAGGAGCCATATTTCTGAGGATTATAAAGATGAACCCTAAAAACAGAGGGTCTGAATCCCAGCCCTGCCTGTAATAACAGTCCAATCCTAAGCAGGAGGTTCTTATCTCTCTAAGCTTGTGCCCTTGTCTGTAGAAGGGAGATGATACTATCAATGTCCACTTTGCAGGGATGAGTGAGGGTTAACTGGGTTAATACATTCAAAGCACTTGAACAAGGCCTGCCACACATTAAATGTTCAGCTATTACAAGAGTCCACAAACTACAGTGTGTGGGCCAAAATTTGGCCCACAGCATGTTTCTTACATAAGTTGTGAGAAAATTATATTTTTTACATTTAAAAAAAGAATGTTTCAAAATTTGGGATACAGGGACTTCCGCCAAGATGGAGACGTAGGTGGAGGAACCACCTTGCCTCTGTGCACAACCAAATCTAAGAACAACTATTTTTAACAACAATCACAACCAAGCCACACGGAAAATTGACAATACGGAGTCCAAAGACAACTAAATGCTCAGCTAAACTGGTAAGAGAAGTGAAACCAGCAGCGGAGCAGGTTAACAAGAAAAAATTCCCGGGTGGTGCGCGGTGCGCAAGCAGTCAAAGGTGCTGATCGTGAGCTAGCTATGGGAGCCCACGGGGAAGAGGCGCAGCGGGCTGTCTTGGTCGGTCACGCATCTGCGTGCGGAGAAACCAGTGAGAAGGGAAGCCTGCTCGGGGCAGCAGGCTCGCACAGTTCCGATCAGATAAATAAGCCCGGGGCGAGTGGTGTGACTGGACGGGCTGGGCTAGTGGAGAGGACCACCATTGCTCCCTCTCTGACCACGCCCCCACACACAGCGTCACAAACCAACGACCTGGGTGGCCCCATCCTGGTAAACAACTAAGGCTTCGCTCTGCTTACTTAACAGCACGAATAGACCAAAAATGGCTCTAGAACAACTCAGAGCCCCAGAACCGATAGATCTAAGCGATGAAGAAATATCCAGTCTTTCAGATGCACAGTTCAAAACACTGGTTATCAGGATCCTTACAGAACTGGTTGATTTTAGTCACAAATTAGAGAAACATATGGAAGCTAAACTAATTGAAATGAATGGTAATACAAAGGAAACCAATAGTAATGGAAAGAAAATTGAAACTCAAATCAAGGGAGTGGACCACAAGGAAGAAAAAAATGATCAAACAGAAAAGAATGAAGAAATAAGAATTCAGAAAAATGAGGAGAAGCTTAGGAACCTCCAGGACATCTTTAAACGTTCCAACATCCAAATTATAGAGGTACCAGAAGGGGGAAAGGCACAGCCACCAGTGGAAAACTTATTTGCACAAATAATAAAGGAAAATTTCCCCAATCTGGCAAAGGAAATAGACTTCCAGGAAGTCCAGGAAGCTCAGAGAGTTCCAAAGAAGTTCGACCCAAGAAGGAACACACCAAGGCACATCATCATTACATTAGCCAAGATTAAAATGAAGGAGAGAATCCTAGAAGCAGCAAGAGCTAAGGGGACAGTCACCTACAAAGGAGTTCCCATCAGAATGTCAGCTGATTTCTCAAAAGAGACCTTATAGGCAAGAAGGGGCTGGAAAGAGGTATTCCAAGTCATGAAAACCAAAGACCTACAACCAAGATTGCTCTACCCAGCAAAGTTTTCATTTAGAATGAAGGACAGATTAAGTGCTTCTCACATAGACCAAATTCAAGGAGTTCATCATCACCAAGCCTTTATTATATGAAATGTTAAAGGGACTTACCTAAGAAAAAGAAGATTAAAAACGATGAACAGTGAAAGGACAGCAAACTCACAGTTAGTAACAACCACACCTAAAACAAAATCAAACTAAGAGGACAGCTAGATCAGGAGCAGAACCATAGAAATGAAGATCTCATGGAGGGTTAGCAACAGGGAAGTGGGAGGAGGAGAAGGGGGGAGAAGGTACAGAAAATAAGTAGCATAGACAGTAGATAGAAAATAGATAGGGGGAAGGGTAAGAATAGTAGGGGAAATACAGAATCTAAAGAATTTGAGACACGTGTTCATGAACTAAAGGGGGAAGTGGTGGGGGAGGGGTATGCAGGGTGGAGGGGAATGGAGGGGGGAATAGAGCAAATGTAATGGCATAATCAATAAAAAAATTTGGGATACATAGTAATTACATCAAATTCAAATTGCAGTGTTTATAAAGTTTTATTTATAGAACACAGTCACACCCACCCTTTACATGTTATCTATGTATGTTTCTTACTATATCAGCAAGGTTGAATAGTTGGAACAGAGAGCCTATGATCCTCAAAGTCTAAAATAGATAAGAAATCTTTTACAGAAAAAGTGTTTGTTTATGAAAAAAGTTTGCTGGCCCCTGAGCTATTCTTATGACTATGCATGGACATGTTGTAAGGTAGTTAGTGGCATTCTTGTTCCTGATACTTTGTTGGAACTGGGCTCAGAAATGTTAAGTATTCTGGTAGGGTCATGTGCCAATTCAGTGAGATGTACTGGCTGAGGCCAACCCAGACCTTTCCCTCATGATCTGGCCTCTCTGCTATGCTGCCTCTCTTGACACAGGACTCTTCCCATATCAAAACTCCTTTTCTGATCTTATTTCCTTTTTATAAAAAGGCAGATTATATTTGATTAATAAATGTAAATTTGCCCTTTTGAAATACATTGCTTATCTTATATCCTAGCCCAGGGGCGTCAAACTCATTTTTACCAGGGGCCACATCAGCCTCCTACTTGCCTTCAAAGGGCCAAATGTAATGTTAGGACTGTATCAGTGCAACTACTCCTTAACAGTTAAGTGAGAGTTCAGTGCTGCTCCTGGGTAGAAACAAGGTGCCAGCCCAGATAAAACAGGTGGAGGATCAAATTCTGCCCTCGGACCTTGTGTTTGTGGCCTGTGTCCTAGCCAATATGATCTTTGCCTGATTGGCATGTACTATGTAATGGGGAATGCTTTAGCCAATTTAATTTACCTTTCAGTATGAAAAAAATTCATTTTATATTTTAGTAATTTAGTTGGTTAGGAGTATTTTTTCATGTAGGGCAATACTAAAAATTATAGGAAATGTAACTGGAAAAAATATTAACCACATTTTCCAACTACTAAGATCTTTTAAAAATATTGCATGTCAAATAGGGATGAAAAGGGCTTAGGAAATTGCTAGATTAATTACTATGAAAGTAACTATATTTAGCACAGCCAAGCTGAATCTTTCTTTCAAGCACAACCATGCCTATTCATACATACAAAGAAAATCTGCAATGCTTCATTGCCAAAGATGAAGGAATTTTTGCAAAGATCATCACAGGTGCATTCTACCCTCAAGGAAAGCTAACCTTTAGTCTGCAAATGGGTTTGAACAGAAATCTCAACTTCTACGTTTACTTACAATGGGTTAGGGCAGGTTGTTTAGGGTCAGCACAAGGAAGAAATTTCTAATGATGCAACAAGAAGCCCCAGAAGGTAATGTATTTCCTAAGCTTGGACGATTTTAAGGAGGAGTCAAATGGCCAACTACAGAGTGTGCTGAAAAGCTATTCAAGGATTCAAGATGGGATGAGCCAGGAAGCTGTACTAGTCATCACTGATGATCCTGCCAGATGCGACAGTGTATGGAACTGGATATTAAATCCATTAGTTAACGGCGGTCCCACTGTAGCCATTTTGTGATATTTTCAAGTAAGTTCATCCAGTTCGATGCCTCAAAAAAACTTTGCTTCAATTCCTTACAGCCAAATGAGAGGTTTTCTTTCTTAGATGAAATAGACAAATGCTCGCTCTCTTTATGTAAGATTGCATCAGTAGTTGCTATGGTGAAAACCTAAATGAGAAATATCCAGTTCACAATCATGTCTCTTCTCAAGTCTGTGAATTTATTATTATTTTTAAATGTAACCTACTTCCTAATTGAAAAACAAGACAGAAGCACTAGAAGAAAAAAATACTTTGACTTTCATAAAGAACTGGTTTGATTTTCATTTTGATTATTTTTATGTAACAATTCCATAAACCATTTTTTTCCAGTCACCAGGATGCTCAGAGCCAAATTCAGAACACAAAAGAACAAGCACGGGCCCACTGGCCTGAGAATGCGCCTTCTAGTTCCAATGCTGGTCTTGTTCTGACAGTGTCTAATGATTTGGTGGTTCCCATTTAAATTTTTACCCTATTACATATTTCTCATAGATTTACATATAATTAATTGTCCAATCCAGGACAACCTGAGAATTAAGAAGGGAGCTATTGAACTTCTCCAGGAAGACAGATGTAAACTAAACTGTTCTTACAAACCAGAACAAATGCTCATTTTACCTGTAGGACATGGGCCAAAAATTAGATTAAGAAAAATAAATAAAGCATTTAAAGAAAATATTAGAGCCCCACTGTCATGATGGCACACCTACAGCACTGTAGACAAACTGAGAACAAAAAACTTTTTGAGTAAAATTAGAAAGCCTGTGGTTCACAGGTACAGCATAATCCATGTGCATGGCAATGCTACTCTTCTCTTTCAGCTTCTATACTTTTAAGGAGAAAAAACTAAAAATGCATCATAACATGTCTGAATGAGGAAGAAATACATTCTTGAATCACATGAATACTGTGAAAAAATAAAAACAAACCAGTGTCCTTAATAGAGACAATCTTGGATTCTGAAACTGGAGCTCTACATTAAAATCTTGGGGCTCCTCAAGCTGAGAAAAGGCAGGTTGCCTGGAGGGGCAACCATTCCCCTCAAACTGAGAATCAGGACAGCGACCACTTCTGTATTCTACACAGTGAGTCATCTGCTCTGCGAGTTTCTCTGAAAAAGCTTTTAATCTTATTTTCCCTTTCCAAGTCCCCTTCTCTCATCAAATTGACTTCCCTGGTGCCACTGTAACTTCGGTTTCAGAAGCACACACCTTGCTCAATGCACAGGGACATCCCACAGTGCAAATAACTTGGAGGTGTTTTAATGAAGTGATGTCTGTACAGACACTCAACTAGGTGGATTGTATATTTTAAAATCTCCCATAGCAAACAGCAAGTACAAGGACCTCTACTGAAGTCTTTAATGATTGGTTCCTAACTTCTGAATGTGAGGATCTTTGCTTTACTTTGAAGCTCGATCCTTTCCCGCTGAAATATTTACATGGGGTGATTTTCTTTGTATGGCCCTTTTCCATTATAGAATGCTTTACCTCTCTCCACTTTCCACAGTACTTCTACAATTGCTCTAATACTTAAAAAAGAAGAGAAGAGAAAGGAAGAAGACGAAAAGAAAAAAGACCAAACACTTCTTTTGAATAAAACATTCTTGAGTCAAAATTTAAAAAGTGCCTACCATTCACAGAATCCACATCCTCATATTAGTATAGCTTATGATAATACTGATTTGGCTCAATGTAACCACCTAATAGTTTCAACTTTAGAAAAATTCATATTTGCTATTGGCTTAAAATATTTTATTTTAAAGTTTCAACAATGATATATACTTGATTTTAAAAAGCAATTCGTAGAACACTATATGTAGTGTGATCCTTATTTTGTGTGATACTTATTTCATATAATACATTACATCCATAATCTTGTTGGAAAGTACAAAAGAATACACATACAATTGTTTTTTGGCAGTTATTTCTTGTGGGGATGATCGGGGGTTAGAAACATGATGATAGAATTTTTATATCATATACTTTTTAATTTTTAAAAATATGTACTATTTTATACCATTATTTAAAATTAATACTAAATATAGGCAAATCTAATGTTTGTTTGCTTTGATGCACAGATATAAACCAGAGTCTATATCTTATAGCTCTTTAGTTGTCTTCTATAGAGACTAATAATTTGTGGATATGAACTAAATGTTGGGGTATAAACAAAAATATATTAAAGTAAATTGACCATCATCTGTGATTTGTACTACAGACTATTTATTTAGACCAGGGCTTGCAACAGTGGCCTACATGACTCAGATATTTCTTATCTACATTTTGAGAGCTTTTTCAATAGCAGGCCGTTTTCCTACCTGCAAACTATCAGCTAGATCTGAGAAGCACCCAGCACTTGGTCTCCACCACTCTGCAGTACAATCCTATACATAATCCTGTACACAATATGATCCTGAACCAGCCCACTTTGCTACTTTATGTGCATGCTTCTCTCTACCATCCAGTCTGCTACCCTTACTGCAGACCGTTAAAAATGAATATTGCTGTGCAAAATCATGTTACATCATCACAAAGCAGCTGGTTCTTTAAAAAATGGTTGTTGCTGCTTTATACATCTAAAGACTACCCCTAATCTGTGAAGACTTCTTGGGGTGTCCAGTCTATATAGGTTCAGTGGCTCTAATGTCATATATTATATTCTACTCCTTTAAATTTGATACGTCTTACAGCCACACAAAATTGGATGTCATTCCTCAAAATGAAGATAGCAATTTTTAAAACCTACTTGTAAACGGGCTCCCCAGCAATCACAGGTCTACTATAATAGATGCTGGGGCAAAAAAACCACTGGCTTTATGCGAATATGCAGGTCTTAACAAGGTTAGACTGTTCACATAATTCAAATTATCCTGACAAGTAGGATACTCCCAAACTATAAACTGTCAGGTTGTACAATAGGTATCTCACAATACAATAGACCTCAGGTATCTCCCCTGTAAAACAACTAGACTGATACAAAAAGTAATTCCTGGCTTGCTCTCCCAGGTTCCTTGTAATCTGCTAATGCTGCCTCAGGGGTCTGTGCAGCCTTTTTAGCATTTCAGAAGCTAACTGGAAAGGGCGTATTTGTCTACAATCTGGATGGAAGTGACCATTCTTTTGTTTCCTCATGAAAAACGTTATCTGTTCACTTTATTAGCATGCTATCTATCCCAGGCTCTGGGGATGGGAGGGCAGTAAGGTGTGTCTGACTATCAAAATTGTTAAACAGGCCAATCAACATAAAAGCACCTACTGTTCATTAGACAAAACTTTTAATAATAAAGGGTCATGGGAAAAAAGAATAATACAGAAGGGAATTGCCCAGGGATAGAGCTTGGACACCATTCATTTTAGCAGCCGTCAAGACCGCCCACTCTCTTAATCTGGAAAGAGCTCCTTATCTGCCTCCAGCTAAATTTTCCCTTTCGGCATTTTTCTTTCCTGATGAGTTCTAGGACTTACTCTGGTCTGTTGCACTCCCGAACAGCAACTTTGATGCCCCCTCCGCATGTTCTTGAGCAGGTTCCAAAGTGAGTCCAGCTTCCCCAGGAGCCGTCAGTCACAGGGCCCTCCATTTCTTTGGGAACACAAAATCCAAACTTGCAGTGCTGTATTTAATAAGGGGAACAATGAGGGACAGCTTGGTGCTTGAAACATTGTAAGACCCACTGTCCTTTCAAATACACACAATTCTAAATGTTTTCCATGTGCTGGTGTGACATGCTGCAATTTCATCATCCATACGAATCATGGAAGCCGGAAGGGTTTTATTCTCATTCTTTTGATTTTAGGCTGTTTTCATTTACAATTTGATTAAATAAAACTGGCCAATGAGAGGCTGTCAGGGTAACTCCAGTGGCTGGCTTCGAGGTGCTCAGTTAGTTTACTTGAAAAAATGAGGAGTGAAAATGGACAGATTGGCTACAGATAGAGCCAAAATGAGTTAGTAGATTTGCACAGCAAATCTCGATTGACTAGACTCAGAGATGCTGTGAACCTGTTAAAAAGATAATGCTTTACTGCTTCCCATGGGTTTGAAAACTCAATTTTAATTAAATGGAAAAAGGAAAAAAACTAATTATAGGATTCCTATATACTCATTCCAGGAAGGCACACAGACAACACTAAGGCAAAATAGACACATTATAGAGAGCCCTAAACTTTATTTTTTTTGATACCAATGATTTCACATTCTTCAGCCTGGAGCAGGAATAAGGCCATGATATTTACAATGAAACAAAAAATAAAAGTCCTCAGCAGGACAAGGGGGTCAAGAAGCCCACTTCAGCCCTCTGCCATTGTTGGGTATGAGGTCTTTACACAAAGCCGAGGTCACTGAGCAGGGGACAAAGGAAGAGCAGCAGCCATGGAGGCAGGAGGGTGACACCCTGCAGCTCACTCAGATCTCTAAGCAGAGCTGGTGGTTGTGCCGTGATTTATCCACAGGGAGAACCCAGGTGTGGAGCCACAGAGGCTGGGGGGGAGGGTATATGCGGGGAAAATAGACAAATAAGAGGCAAGTGAAGGTCCCAGTCTGCATGGCTGGTCCCAGGAAAGGCTTGGTGAAAAATTATTCAAAGAGTACAATTAAATTTCCCTATTCTGCTGCACCTTGTCCCTTGGAATTATCCTCTTGGAGTATCTGAGGACGCATCCCTTTCCCTGGGCTGTTTGGTTGAGGCTTAAAAGGTTCTGCTGAGGCCAAAGAATTCTGGGCAACTCCGTATCTGAGAAATGTGGGCAGAGGCAGAAGTGATCACATCACTCCCTGAAATCCCTGTATGCTTGCTTGTGTCTATAGCGTTCTTGAACATTTTTTGAAATATATGCCCACGAAGATAAATGAGAGAAGCGGCTTGGTCCAGAGCACCACTACCTAATAAAAATGTAACTTGAGTCATGTATTTAAACAAATTAAAAAAATTTAAAAAGCCACATTAAAACAAGTAAAAAAAAATCCCTGAAATTAATTTTAGTACCTCTTATTTAGCTCAACACACCTAAAACATTATTTCTACAGGGAGTCAATACAGAATCAGAAATGAATTTTTAAATACTTTTTTCATACTAAGTTTTCAATACCTGGTATGTTTTTTTCACTTAAGCACATCTCAGTTCAGGCTGATATTTCAAGCACTCACCAGCCTCATGTGCCTAATGGCTGCCATATTGGACAGTGCAGGGACAAAGCTTAGCGGGCAAAAGTCTAGCTTCCACAAACTCTGTGACCTCGGGCAAGTCACTGAACTCCGCTTCCACAGATGAAAAATACTTACCTGCCAAAGTTGTCTTGAGTATACTATAAGACGGTATATCTACAGCACCTAATACACAGCTAAGCACATAGGGGACCACACTTCAATAAAGTTAGTAATAATAATGGCAAGCATTTACACTTGATATTTGTCAGGCACTGTTCTAAGTATATATCAACTTTCTTAATTTTCCCTGCACACTATGACATAGGTACTCTCATTACTCCCATTTCTACAGAAAAGAAAATGGTGGCAAAAAGGGGTTGAGGCCAAACTTCAGTAACAGAGACTAATCATTAGACAATCTGACTTAATAGTGCCCTCTTAACTGACAGATGCTGTGTCTCTCTCAATTGTGAGCAAATGCAAACAATTTCTGACATCTAAATAAAGACTAAAATTTAAAACAAAAGGAAATAAAAAATAATTAGGTAAGGCTAAGGCTAAATTATCCACCTAATGTCCATTGTTCCTTTCATCATGGTACGGAATCTGTATTTCCCCAGATTCTTGTACAGATAAGAGTGGTCAAAGAGATGTCAGCAGGATTTGTTGGGTGAGATTCTGGGAAGGTTCCTTTGGCCCTTCGTTCCTTGCTCTTTGGCTTCATTCTGCCTAAGACTCAGACTTGATGTCTGGGGCTGCTGCAGCCATTTTGTAATTTTGTGGGGAAAGACCATTTGCATATGACAGTGGAACAGAAAAAAATTAGGAGTCTGGGTCTCTGACGATTTTGTGGAGCTACCACAACAGCTCCATAGCTTGTTTAATTCTGGGCTAGCTCTTTTTTTTTTTTTTTTTTGTCAGAAGAAGGCCAATTTTCTTACACTATGATAACTGGATCTGACCTGAACAAATTTCTAATTAATATATAACAGAGGTCATAGCTGACACCCAAATTCAGCCTTCAAGTCTTGGTGCCACATACACATTTTATAAATTCTACAAAGTAAGGAAAAAATCCTATGAAGATTCATGTGGTTTCATAATGAGAAATGATCTGGGAATATATTTTCTCCTTTTGACACTTAAGTCTTTGGTCTGTTGACCTCTCTATCCTATAGACTCTACTTGCACAAGAACAAGCAGTAAAGTTCAGAGCAAAATGAGGACATAGGTGCTGGCATCACTAGAGTGTTATCATTCAGCACTGCACTCAAATGCCCTCACATGGTCCCTTTTTAAAGTAAAACTGCAAGCCAAAAAGTGATCTTCAGATGAAACCTGTCTTACTGATCTGACCATTGATGGGTATTCAAAGGAGAGGAAGGGCCTCGGAAACACAGAGGAAGTGCCCGAGATGACAGATCCTGGAAATTGGGGCTGTTTGGCAAAAATGTACCAAGATCATCTATTTTTCCAGGCAAATTTGACAAACAATAAGGACATGCTGGAATAGCCATTAAGTCATACCAAAGCATTAAGCAGCTAGCGGGGTCCCAGCCAAAATAGAGTCAGCCTTTCCTAAAAGTGTCCAGAGCCATTTAAAAGATATTCTACCTAAGTAACCCACAAACCCCTTTTTAAAAAGGTTGGAGAAGGGACTTGGTGATCAATTTCATACCAATGAGGTTTAAAACAAAAGTTTCAAACCTGAGAGTCACAAACAGGGTTAAAATAAAAATGTCAATGGACTTAACAAGAGAATGAAAAAAAAGAAAGAGACATTAGAGTCATTCATCAAAATAACACTGTGTCAGCAGCCCAAGACAGATCACTGCTCAGGGAGCAGGGCAGAAAGAACAGAAAGAAAAAAAAATTAACCCCTCAGTAAAGAAAGTCAGAATTTGCTATAGAAAGGCATATGGTTTTATTGCCAATTCTACAAAAACAAAATGAAAGAACCAAAGAATTTTTATGCCAACATATCTATTATCCCTGGCATTTGAAAAATGCATAAATATTCTTCAGGGGAATAAACACATTTACTCACATCTTTAATAAAAGCTACTAGAGTTGGCCACTTTTCATTTTTTTCAGTTGTCTAAAACACAACTAAAAATGTACCTATCATTTTCTCTGCAGAGCTGCTTCTCTGAAAGTGTTCTGAACCTGCCGTTTGGAAGGTTTCGAAGTCCCTGACTCTTGCTGAATCCAAACATACATCGAAAAAGCCTTCTGAAAGATATCCCAAATAACCCATCCCTCAGGTGTAGGAGTAGCCTGCAATCCCTTGTCTTCTGCTTCCGTTCCAAAAACAGAAGATTAGAAAAGACACAACAGACATTGTCCCAAGTTCTTCCATGTTCCCCAACCAATCGGGATACCATATTACTACATGGCAATGCGTAGCCTGTTCATGACAATTGTACTAAATATAATTCACTTCATCATATTATTGAGAATCCTTCTATGGTATGGTTTTTAAAGCAATAGTATGTGTCATAAATAGACATATTATGTGGATGCCTCGGATTCGCTAAAAACCACAACACAATACCAGTGACTTTTCCAATATTAAACAGTTTCAACACAAGCAATATAGTTGGCTGGCTCTATATCAAGCCAACTAACCAAATCATCAAAGGACTATCATGCCTGCTGTCGTCTCCCATCAACTGGTAGCAGCTGTCTGGGTCACTGTGTTTAGAAGGACTCTGAGGCCACTTCATCTCACAACAATGAGTGAATTCTTAACGGCTGCCATGGAAATCTAAGAAACATATTTCTACTCAAAGCTATGATCCTCAGCCATCAACATGTTGAGTTAAATGTCCACTCAAAAGTTAAAGATTCGTTATGACCAAGGAGATGTATTTTTTTTAAGATAACGAAAGGTACAAAGTTGTTATACCAAATCTGTATATAGTTTTGGTGAGGTTGTTATTGGGGAAAGGTGTATTCTTAACTGCTGAGGTCCTAGCCATTAAGAAATGATAACTTGAGGTGGCTTAGTCACTGAATCAAGTATAAAATCATCTTCATTGTCATTTCTTATTTTTGTATTGAACTTTGTGTTTTTCAAATGCCTTTCATGACCTCGAGATCATGTAACTTTATTACATGAGAGATGAGTGAAGAAACCACCAGTCACCCTGTTTGACCACTAGAAACTGAAGGAGCTCAGTTATAGCCACAACAGTACACTTCAGCTCCTTTAGAACAAACAAAAGGGGGAATTGGGGGGGGGCCAGGGGTCCAGGTGTCAGAGAGGCTCTGCCCTGAATGAACTGTGTGATCTTGGGCAAGTCACTTATTTTTTCTGTTCCCTGTGTATAAAATCAAGTTAGAAAGAATTAAGTTCTGCCATCTCTTTAGTACTCCTTCCACGGAAATGTTCTGGTGCGATTGATTCTACAAGGTAAAGTTGAGGAAAAAAGTGAGATGAGAATAAAATATTAAAAGTGAGCAAAGTAGACAATGGGAAGAAGAGAGGAGAGAGGAAAAATATATGGAAGGAAGACAAAAGGCTCAGAATTCTAAGGATTGTGTTGTTGGGTGACAGAATGCCATTTTTCATGTGGATTTTTAAAAAATCAGGGTTTATATCTAAAACATTTTCTCACCAAATTTTTGAGTAATAATGATGCTATCACATAGTACCTTATTTTGTTTTGTTTTTTAAGATAGACATGAGGCGAAGCAGGTTACATTGATCATACTCCAGGTGCCTGAGACATTGCTATTTATCACTGGGCTATGCAAGTAGTGGCTTTTGTTTGGTTAGTAACAAAGTGGAAACCAAGATAACCAAATGAGGATTTGGACTTGGATATATCCCAGGTGACATCATTGCTTCTTAAAGGGACAGAGGTTGGGAAAAGCCAGCAGTGAACACAGTAAGTTTACTGTATTTCTGGATTTCTTTGATTTTATAATGCTTCATCATTTAATAATAGACTTCCACTGCCACCCCCAAAAAAGACAGAAAGAAGAAAAATGCAACCTCACATTAAATGTACCCATAAATTAAAATGCACATTGGAATTTCGGAAATGTGAAAATGGGAAAAAGTATGTCTTAAAATGGAGGCAATAATGATAGCCACGTCGAGCACATCAGTAGTACACAATAATGTTTTCGCAATTTTCAATATCAAAGCTGAACCCCTTGCCTCAAAAAAGTATTATGCATGCCAAAACACTGAATTTATTTACATTCTAAACAGTGGTGACTGAGCCTGTAGTTAAATCTTGCCCATTTCTGGTCCAAAAGAGAAGGAAAGGTTAGGTCATTACTTGCCTTTCCAGACTCACACTCGGTCCCATCCGCCCAGGGTGTGTGCTGTGTCCGGCAGCCTTTGCTCGCTCCTTCCCCTCCGTCCCCGTTATTGCACCAGAGTCGTCGGCACTGCATCTGCTCATTTCAGTGAGATGACAATTCAGTGACAACATGGTTAGATGATATCAAACAAGGCAAGGATTACTTTCAATTAATGTTTTGCCAATGATGTGCTATAGATTGGAAAGGAATTTTATTTCCTGATATGATAAGTGATAAAGTATTCCAAGGGATAGAGAGAGCAGTAAATGAGGCACACTTGTATGCCTGGTAGGACTTGAAATGGTGTAAAAAAGGGGCTTCTATGCATCTCATAGTGGCATCTTCCTCAGTAACCCGTCCCCCGGCTGCTGACAAGCACACTGAGGCAGAGGTGAACAAGCATGCGCACTTGCACACTGGAGCTGTGTGATGAGAGCTTAGGTTTGTGAGGAGCTGTGTCGGGAGATAAGGTTCAGAGTTATGCTGTGATTAGCTGTGATTTGAGTTTTGGTTTGGCTTGCCGACAAAACTAGTGTTTTAGTAGTCCGTATACTATCATGGTAATAAAATAACTGTTTACTAGGGCCTTAGGGGTTATCAGAGGAAAGAAGGGACAAAATATTGTGAAATATTTCAGGCATACAAAAAGCACAAATAGCAACATAATGGATAAGCATGAACCTACCACCCAACTAAAGAAAGGAAACTCCCCAGGCCCAGGTGAAGGCCCAGTATATTCCTCCTTAATCCCCAAACCCTTTCCCTTCTCCCAGAGATGACATTGTCCTGAGGGATGGCTATCCTGTCATTCCCATTGCTCTATGACAAATGTGTAAGTATCAAACAATAACATACATTTCAACTTTAAGCAAACAATATTATTCAGCATTTCAGAATATACTGATAGGCCTTGTAACTTGCTTATACTCACTACTCACACACATACACACACAGCATTTTTTAGTTTTACCCAAATTGATATATTTAGCTCTATTTCAGAGCACACATTTTAAACACTTTTCCCTGATTATTAAACTAAACCATGCTCATAATAAAAAATCAGAAAGTTCTAGTAATTTACTTTTTTTAAATAGAAAAGCCTCAAACTACTAGGCTTTCCTAGTTTCTTGCCTTTTACAGTTGAGAACATACTCTACAAAATAATTATTTATCCTGTTAACTTAAAAAAAATTAGGAACATGTTCCTATGTGTGGTTAATTTTTAATTATTGTGTACTATTCTACTAAACAGAAACACCATAATTTGCTGAACCATTTTATTGTACAGAACTTGGATTACTCCTAATGTTCACTGTAATGAATAACAGAAATAAGTATAATCTTGATTAAATTTTAGTCAAAATATTTTATTTTTTTTCATGGAATCACTATACTTCCCAATTCACCATTGAACCTCTGAAATTTCTCTCAGCAAAACAAACACACACATACATCCAAAGAGGTAGAATGAGGCACCCCAAAGAAGCACAGTGCTGCACATTTGAAATCTGATAACCACTAGATCATATTATTGGTCCAAATTTCTACAACACATACATCAAAGTATCACACACCCACCAGCTGAGCTACCACCAGGAATGACTTCAAGCCCCACTTGGTCACAGGACACAGGTTTGACAAGCTAGACCAGGGAAACAGGTTTTTCCCATGGATTAGTTTTACTGCTTCTAGAAGAGTCCCTATAATAAAGGTCAATGGTCATGAAAGGAGACAAGAAGAGAAATGGGCTGAACTCTGCCATTATAGCTCTGCAACGTGTCCTCTCTGAGCCTCACTTTCCCCTCTGTGTGAAGAAAACAATAACGGCATCTCCCTGTTGGACTGTCCTGAAAGTGAAATGAGAAAGTGCCAGCAAAGCACCATCCAACAGTGAGTACTGTGACTGCTTATCACCATCATTGTTAGTATTATCCTTAAGAGTCAATGGACCATTCTCAACTTTTCTATGAGTGGTTTATATTACAGTGAAAATCTAATGGAAAACTATGACTAAAAAGAGGTCCAGAATCAACCTCCAAACACTTACCATAAATGGGCACACCTGAGAACCCGGTCCAAAAATCAATTCACATTGTTTATTCACGTTGTAAAGGAGGCCTGGCAGTTGGGAAGGCAAATGGTAGTATCTGGATTCAGGTTTGTTAAGCAAACACTCGCCGTAACCAATGCTATGGGAAGCAAAAAGTACAGATGATGAGAGCGATGGGTGACACATGACTTGTCGACACCTCCAGATGAAAGGGAAGGCCATCTGCCATTATAACAGTAGAGAGGACAGTTCTTTATATTTGTTTTACTCTTTTCATCCAAGGTTAAGTCTAAGAGCTGAAGTTGTATTTTGGTATATATGTTTTTATACTGATTGGCTATGTATACAACACAGCAGGAAATGTGTACCTCTTACAGCTTTTATCACATTTCAAGGCAATTATCTTTTTATATATTTATTTCTTTTTTACCATCTTTTCCAATAGGCTGTAAGCTTCTTAGGGGCAAAGATAGTGTCTTTTCATCCTCTGTAACAACAGATGTTTAGTAAATGTTTGCTAAATAGTTGAGTGAATTAATCACCGATGGCAAGAAACACCTATCATCTGATTAAAGAGGAAAAACAATAGCCCTCCAGTTCTTCTGACATTTCTACAAACACTTCTGGATGAAATTCACACCCAGTGAGTTCTGATTAATAAAACGCCCTCTTTCCTGTGGTTGCAAAAATATACACCCAGTGACCTTAGACAATCACTTAACCTTTTGTACTTCTGGGAGAGAAAAGCAATAAATCTGTGACACAGGGATATTGTATAATGTAATGGGATCTTTAAGCAGCCTGGCAGGAAGCTTAAAAAACAAAACAAGAACAGAGAGAAGGAGAGAAGGTGTGTATGTGTGTGTAAGAGAGGGAGGGGGGAGAGGAAGAGAGAGAGAGAGAACGTCCTTCATTCAACAGCAGGGAGGACTGCTGCAATTTTCATCCGCCCAGATAACCTTCTTTGGGATTGTCTCACTCTCCTACCACTTTCCAAGCCAAAATTACTAAGTTAAAGGTCATAAGTATTGTGGCTTTCCTTCATCATGTAATCAACATTCATGGTTCTTCTTCCAATACCTGAACATCTAGATTTCCTATCTTTACCAGAAATAAAGCAACATTTACACATTCTCTGTAAGATCCCAACCTTCTTTTTAGCTCAGTCTGTAATCTTCTAAACTGAGGCAAGGACATAAACGGCACAGATGGCACAGAGTATTTTTTCCCCTCCTTCAAGGAATGTCAGTCAACAAAAATAACAATGCAAAAAGAATGTTTGACTCTACATTTTCTTTTCCACAATTAGGTTACTACATAAAGGCTACACACCAGAAGTCTGTGCTAAAACAAAGTTCAAGTCTTACTCTAAAAATTCAGTGACATATTTTCGACTACACTTTGACCATATCCAGGGTTTGGTGTGGAAGTTCAGTGTTGGAGCCATGACTTGCTGGGGACTCTTTACTCCTTCTTCTTTGCACTTATTGCTGTCATCATGAGGCATATTAAACCTAAGGCCAACAAGACAAGGATGAGACTGTCAATAAACACAAAGGGATTGAGCTGTTATAATTGCTTTCAAGAATGTACATGTCTAAATTTTTTTTATACTGACTACTGCATTGTGGATAAAAACCTGAATCCTGGTGAGCAGAACAAAACTAGACAATTACAGATGCAGTGATGATAAAATATAATTCTCACTCAATTTAATATGCAGTGTCTTTAATGTATAAAAAATGTGGACTGAAAAAAATGTGGACTGAGCCATTATGTGGCTTAAGTGTACTTTCTGGGATTGCAGAAGCTTTGAACATGCTGTAGTTGGTGCTAGAATACAGCAGTTGGAGTTTCTAAAAAGCAATTAAAGGCCAATTTATAGGGGCAAGATTTGGCAGGTTATGATAACACTGTGAATATAAAGAGTCCGTCAAATGTCAAAATTTGCAGCCAGTGCTTCCTAATAAGAGGCTCACTGTGGGTCTTGGCATCTCCTCTTTAGATCAGGTTGACAAAAGGTCATAACCCTGTAGGTACATCATTATAAAGGTGTGCAAAGTTCATGCACAATAAAACAATTAAGGAAGGCTGCAAGCATGGAAACCAGAAACCTCCACTTCAATTGGCTTAACTCAAAGATGGCAAATAGTTTCTTGCTTCATGCCAGTATCAACTGATTGATACTGGCTTCCTGAAAAGTTGGGCGTAAAATGAGTCTTAAATTAACCCAGGTTTTCTCTCCTCTGTCCCTGTCCCTCCCCACCACCACAGAAGGCTGTGATGAAGTATCAATGTCCTCCTGTTGGGTCTGGGAAAGAACCTGGCCACAGGATTAACACATACTTGCCAGACAAAGTGGGGAAATATGATAGGAAGCATCTGTCAGTCCAGAAACCTCAACTGTATGATTTACATGCCATTATCAGCTTTAGTATTTATCCACTGGCTGTCTTCTCTGGATGACTTTCCCCAGTCACAAATTTGATGCATATGATTAATTGAACATTTAGGGAGGAATTTCCTTTACCAGTTCATTTTGAAATATGGAAATAAGTGAGTCAGGAGTGTGTAGACTTGTTTCATATGAAAGTAAAGCTAGGATAAAAGCCTATGAAGTCCACTCCATTGATTTCTCTTGTGTTTTTTTTTTTTAAATTTGGGCCCCACAATAATGGACAGATAGAATAATTGCCTGATGGAAATTGTGAGATGGAAAAACTCAAACTGTCTCAGTTGAACTTAAAATTAGTTCTTATTGCTTATGAGTCCATTTTCTTAAAACAATGACTGCCTACGTTTCTAGTTTCCAGCTGCTGAGTCAGTACCCTGCCTATACCAACAAACCCAGCAAGCGCAACATCCAAATCTTAGTTTAGCTGTTTCTCTGTAGTGCAAGGGGACTGATGTTTACCCCCCACCCTCACGAGGACTTGACAAAATCCAGTTTATTTCATCATGTAAAAAACCTTCCTTTCATTCAATGTCAGGTACATTTGCTTATAGCAGAAGCTAGATAATATGCATTAAGCACTTATGAAACAACAATAAAACTTTTATTGCATTCACAACACACTGGGTAGTGTGTTAAATATGTCAGATGCTTTATTTCACTTAATTAGCTATTTGATCTAATGACCAATACAATTACTATCTACATTTTACAAGTCAGGAAGCTGAGATGTAATTACTCAATTGAGGTCATCAGCACTAAAATGGGGAGCTTGGATTGGAATCCACTTCAGTCTGATTCTAAAATCTCTTGCTCGGGAATATATATATATATATAATATATATATAATATATATATATATTATATTCCCTGCTGTTAGACAGTTGTGGAATTGTCAGGAATACTATGAAAAGGTTTCTACATCCAGTAGAGGTAACTGACCTCCCAAATTCTTTCTCTTAGACTCTGTGTCTATGAAGCTGTATAAGAAGGTAGGAGCTATTTTTGAAGCAGCCAATAATGCTCAACAAATACAAGATCAACTGATTTTCTCTTTCAATGACTGTTGGGTTTTTTATTATCAGAAAGTCATGACTGGAACAACTTAGCATGTAATTTTTTAAAGATTCATTAGAAAATCTGTGGATTTTCACTTCCTTAAATGTGAGCGAAACTAACTATATGAGACTAAGCACTTAAACAAAGGTAATTCTTAATGTGTTAGGAATATACCTTTTGCTTAAATAACAACACACATCATTCATTAACTATTTCATACTTCACTTCCTGACACCGCTGAGATAATATATGTATTATCCTACTTTACAAGTAGGGAAGCAGCATACATTTTCCTCAAGTCAAGCAGAATGTGGAACAATTCAGTCCAGAACTTGGGTGTCTGGCTCTCAGCCACTGTCTGTCTTGGAGCTGGGAGCCCAGTCTAATCTCACTAAGTCAAACACAGAGAAACAATAATACCTACCTCTGGGGATAATGAAGATTAAGGGAGATAATATAAGTGAAAGCTCCTCAAACAATGCCAACAACATGGTTTTTGTGTCAGGAAGATGTTTGTTAACTATGCATTTAGGTTTCTCTACAGCTGAAAATATTTACTTTTTGCTACTTATTAGTCTTATTTTCTTTAAAATGTCAACTTTTAAGCTGGCTCCCCAAAGAATTTTATAAGCTCTTATTAGAAATTAATTAATAGAAAATTAATTATATTTATTTAAGTGGTATACTTAGCCATATGTTAGGAAGAAATGTTAATAAAATTATGTGCCCTTTGAATACCTTCCTATCTCTGTAACTCTTCCAATTCTATTTCCTAGAAATAGAATAGCTATCCTGTTGAAATGCAACCTATTCTTCATGGTCAAATCTGTCCTCCTATTTAAAGTTCTAAAGAAATTTACTAAATTTTATGCAAAACAAATAAAAATCCCTAAAAGATTCTGCTAAAATAAGTTTGGGAAAACTAAGTTACACAAAACCAACAATTTAATACAGAAGTTGTCAAAGCCTTCACTTTTATACCATTTAGCCTTGTGACTCCAATCAGGGGTAGACTACAAATACATTTTAAAAAATCACTTTACTGTTAAACTGATAAAAACAGATCCTACACTTGATATTAGTCAAAAGGCTGAGAAGCAACTTGGACAGCATTATGCTAAGTGAAATAAACCAGTCAGAGAAAGACAAATACCACATGATTTCATTTATATGTGGAATCTAATGAACAAAATAAACAAACAAAATAGAAACTGACTCATAGATACAGAGAACAGACTGACAACTGTCAGAGGGAAGAAAGTTTGGGGGGTTGGTTAAAAAAGGGAAGGAACTAAGGAAAAAACCTCATAGACACAGATAACAGTATGGTGATTACCAGAAGGAAAGGGGTGTGGGACAGGTATAAGGGGATAAAGGGGAGATAAATGGTGATGGATGGACACTTGACCTTGAGTGGTGAACACACAGTACCATAATACAATATACAGATGATGTATTACAGAACTGTACACTTGAAACCTATGTAATTTTTTAACTAATGTCACCCCAATCAATTAAAATAAAATTAAAAATCACTTGACTACAAAACTTTTTTTTTGCACAACAGCATGGATGGATCTAGAGGGTATTATGCTCAATGAAATAAGTAATAAGTCAGACAGAGAAGGAGACATATGATATGATTTCACTTATGTGTGGAATCTAATGAACAAAATACACTAACAAACAAAATAGGAAAGGACTCATAGGTACAGAGAACAGATTGACAGCTGTCAGAGGGGAGGGGAGTTGGAGGGCTGGGTAAAAAAGGAGAAGGGATTAAGAAGTACAAATTGGTAGTAACAGAACAGTCACAGAGATGTAGATAGTCTATGGTCATAGACTATATTCTCTATGCTGTATTCTCTATGCATATATTGTGATAAGTATGTATAGGGCCAGATGGGTGCTTGAAAGCAGTGGGGGACCACTCTGTAAATTGCATGATTTTTTAACCAGTTTGCTATATAACTAAAGCTAATACAGAATAATATTGAATGTAAGCTGTAGTTGAAAAATTTAAAAAATCATGACTATAAAATTCTTTTTCTTGTTTTCACAGATCATTCTTTCAGAAGTAGTGTTAAAGATATTGCACTTTGGGAAACAATGACAGGATCAGTAGTTTTCAAACTCAGTTCCAAGAAATCCTTGAGTTTCATGATAACATTTCAGAAACCAAAAGGACAGAGAGAAAACTGACTAATAGGATCCTGGCCTGCTACCATTGTTCGATGGAAAGCCAGGCTTTTTTTGTGCCATAAATATTGGATGTCTGATAATAGTTCCTTTAGAGAAAAGAAAAGCACTATACACTTAACATATGCTTGAAAGGTACTAGTTTTTAAATATATTCATTATTTGTTGAACAGAATTGGTGGTACCTCTGTATGTGCACCTTGCTTTTTGCCCAGCATGGCACACTGCACATAGGTGCCCTCATAAGACTGGTGAATGAAAAAGTGTGCTCAGTAGATGATTGTTGTTATTAAGTTAACACATGACCTGAAAATTGATATACAACTACATTAGTAACATCTGAGAAAATTATTTCATAAGGGTATAAATAATTTAATTATTCTAGAAAGAAAATAATGCAGCTCAAATATCAGAATAATTTCTAACAAATTTGCGTTCTTTTGCTACATGTTCTAGCTATGCCCTGTCTCTAAAAGGATAAAAAGGAAAAGCCAGTTTCACAATGACCACTTAGTGACCACAATTAGTAAATGTGTTATTTGCTCCATTTTTGTTCATTCTCTTCCATGAGAGATTTCAGTGTTTCTAAGGCTATCTAAATTGTATAGACTTATATAACTAGAACCAGGAATAATCTGGATGTGTGAAAATCTCGTGAGACTGGGCAATAATGGGAACCCTCCTAGACAAAGATGCCAGGTCATAAAATTCTCCTAGCTAACATGCCTTTGGCTTCAGTGGATGGTTTGGAAAGGCCCACTCCCTCCAATTGCCAGTAAGAAAGGAGAATATTAGACTTTTCATAGAATATGTGTGCAGTTTAACCAAAGAGTCTCATGAGCTATGCCCAAAGAGGGTGCACTGCATTTACTCAGCCTTCTGAAATCAAGTTATTTCTCACAGCTAGGTTCCAAGGTCTTTAATCCTGCAAATTCTATGACTCAAAACACTCAAGAAGTGTCTCCCACCCTCTAAAGTCTAGGGAAGGCTCACTGTTGTGAAGGAAGAAAAGTTTTATGTCACTCTGAATTCAACAAAAATATGGAAAGGAAACATACAGATGGCCCAGTTCATGGGCTATTGTAAAAGCCGTGCTCAATCCATTATCTTCGTTAATAGAACAGCTTCTAGGTGGATCACAAAGGGATCCCAGTTCAGCAAGGCCTATTGGGAGCAAAACAACAAGGATTTACTTGAAAAAGCAGTTGTGGCTAGAATAAAAACATGTAGCCAGAGAGAAGATGCATAGCAAACTCACCTAAGGTATCACATTTGTCATGAGCTCTGCAGATATCCTGTCTGAAAGCAAAGCAGACTTAAGGCCTTGATGACACCAAAGAGGAAACATCAATACAAGTAAACATTTTAGAGTCTTCTAGGAATTCACAACAGCACCCACGTTAGGGAGCGGGTAACAAAAACCAAACTATCAAGGTCACGGTTATTAGACTGTCAAAAACAGTTTGGAAATCACTTGATTTAAGGATAAAAAAAACTGCATTGAAAGGTCTTCTGCCTCAGCAGTGGCCACAGAACAAGCAGAAACCTCTCTGAACAGGATTTTTCCTCATACATTGAAGGAAGTGATTGTGTTTTCTTAACAAAGATTCCTGACAAACATGTTTTCCTTTATGTTTACAAGTGTGTGCCTGTAACCATGTCTAAGCTGAGTGGTGGGCAGTGCACTAGGCCAGCAGACCTCTTTGGTGCCCCACACAGGTTTTTAAATATTTTTGAAGCAGGAGTTACCATTTAAAAGTTGGAAAAGTGCACTTTTAAGAAAAATCCACATCTCTGACTTATTACAAAATCACAGAGGTTGGCATTACTGGGACTGTAATTTGCCTGGTAACAACTAGCTCAGTCTGAAGAGCTGCTGCCCCTCTCTCCGTAAGGTCACTTTTCTTCAGGCCTGCCTGACACTTCCACTGTCAGAGGGCATTTGGCAGCCTATGTGGTCTGACCACACTGTTGGTTGTCACAACTGAGAGGAGGGAATGTTACTGTTAAGTGATGGGCAGAGATCCTGGATGCTGCTAGACATCCTGTAATGCACAAGATAGCCTTACAACAGAGAATTATCTGCTCCCAAATTTCAACAGTTCTGAGGTTGAGGTTGAAAAACCTTGTAGTGGGAGCTGCCTACCAGCAATATATAACCTCATCCCATCAACCTGACTGGAAACTGAGAGATGTGAAGAATAAGAAATTCATACCTTGTTATAAGAACAGCAGTATCATGGTGGATTCCACCTAGATTGTTCTTTGAATGCTGCCACTCACAAAACTTTCTTAATGTTGTCTGGGCATTGAAAGATATGGAAGGTCCTTCCTAAGTACAGAAAAAAATCATGGTTCGTTCACTGTACCAATTAGGTATGCCATACAGATAGAAGAAAGAAGAAAAAAACTTTATTACCTGTTCATTATGAATCATAACTAAGTTCACAACAACAATATTAATTAAATTTCCAATACTGGGGTCTTTATAGATAGAGGCTACCTGCAACCGAGATAAATTTTTCAAAGTTAATTGTGAACTCTGTGTAAGCAATAAGCAATTTACTTCTTATGTGGGGCTCCACCTCTTTTTACAATTCATGCAACAAACATATGCATTTTTGAGTCTTGAATTTTCATTCAATAAACATTCAAAGTCTCTTTGTAAAACTGTTCACAGTTGGAAGTTTTAAATAATAATAAATTCTAACAAATTTAAATTTCAAGGTGCTTTCTTTGGAAATTGCATGGTCATGCAACTCAACAGTTCTCTATGCCCAATACTGGATATTAATTTTTTTAAATAATGTAAACTTTATTGGATTGATTCATTTTGCATATGGTACATCTCTCTGAGAATTATCCCAATACACAAACAAACAATCAGGTTTAACGTCTAGAGTGGTGCCATTGTGTACACAGCAGGTGCTAAATAGTGCAACGAGTCCAAGAGTTTGATGACAATTTTGTTATTCCATCTCAGCTCCAACCCAATATAGGAGTCTTTATTCCTGAATACCAAATATTAGAATTAAAAAAAAAATGTTAACAAAGGGGAGGTCACATGCTTATCAAGCTCCTTTATCCCAGTTGATGTCCTGAATTGTCAAATTATGAAATCTCACTTTGACCACATCTTTGCTAATACTGCTGTTCTTCATGTTTATCACCCATTTCTGTTCTCCACAACCTGGTAACCTATTTGTCATCATTATTGTTAATTATGAGAGCTAACATTCATTGAATACTTACTGTGGACTAAATTTTGCTGAAAACTGAATATACATTTGCATTCAGTCTCATAGCAAAACTCTGGGTTAGGTATTATTCTAAACTCTGCTCAAGAAATGAGGAATCTAAGGCCCAGAGAAATTAAGTAACTCATATACAGTGGTGAGTAGCAGAGCTGGAACTCTCAACTTCTATCAGTCTGACCCAAAGTAATATGCTCGCAATTGAAATTCTTAGGGTAGGTCTGGATTTATGAGTCGAAAAAAGAGTTGAGCCCTGATGGGTCTGGCTCAGCTGGTTGGGTGTCATCCTGCAAAGCAAAAAGTTGCCAGTCCCATTCCCAGTCAGGGCACATGCCGGGTTTGCAGGTTTCATCCCTGGTTGGGTGTATATGAGAGACAATCAATCAATGTTTCTCTCTCACATTGATATTTCTCTCCCTCTCTTTCTCATTCCCTTCCCCTCTCTCTAAAAATAAATCTCAAGAAAAAAAGAAAAGAAGGAAAATGGAGTTGAGTCTGTGTAAGTTCTAATTAGGTTTTTCTTTCTCTGGTCCAGGACAGGAGAGGGCTAGGGTACATGGGCTTAAGTGTGGAGAAGGCAGGTAACTGGAGGGTGGAGGGGAAGAAGGTTGGGGTGTGGAATGGGAAACATGAGGGACTGGTTCACAGCAGTGAGGGAAAAGACAAGGAGAAGCACAGACTGCGGAAACTCTAAAGCAATATTCCCAAACATGGCTGCTTTTCATATACATATGTGGAATATATTAATAATAGATTCCTGTTCAAATAAATTAGCATCAATGCATTAAAAGGAATCTTAAGCTGAGGCTTAAAATGAATGAGGGCAAGATCATAGAGATTGCTATAGAAAACAATCTCCAATATTTCAAGAAAAAAGCAACGTATAAAAAAGTATAGGACAATGCTCCATTTCTGTTTGAAAAAAAAGTTGTATGTGCACACATATATGTTTAAGAAATGTCCAAAGCTATGCTGTCCACTTGCCATATATGGTCACTGAGCACTCGAAATGTGGCTAGTCCAAATTGAGATGTGCTGTGAATATAAAACATCCTGGATTTTGAAGGCTTAAATGAACTAAATGCATTATTAAAATTAATTTTACCTGTCTGTTTTATTTCATGTGGCTATTAGAAAATTTGAAATTATATGTGCTGTTTACATTATATCTGTAAACAACAGATATTTATCTGTATTGGGCAGAGCTGTTTAGAAACATTTGCAAAAAACTTAATAGTGGTTGCCTCTAGGAAGGAGCCTGAGAGCATGGGTAGGGAAAGACACTTATTTTTCATTGATGGCCTTTTGTTATGTTTGATTTTTTAAATCATGCAAATATACTGCTTTTTCAATTCAAGATAGAACTAGAAAAAAATACAGTAAAAGATTTCTAGACCTCACCCCAGGGCTAAATAGAATCCTAGGGAAGATGCTGGAGGCAGGCAGCTCTGCTTAAAAAAGCTCCACAAGTGACTCTGACTCACAACCAGCATCCAAAAGTCTTAGTGGAGACACATACCTGGCTGTGCAAGTTCACATGTCAGACAAAGAGCACTGGTTTGGGTGACTGGACAACCTAAAGGTCATATTAGTCTCCAAGCTTTCACATAACTATTGGCAAGTGACCCAACTCCTCTGGGGCTCAGTTTTCTTATCTATAAAATCGGTGTGACAATCCTACCTAGTTGAGTTGCCTGGGGGATTAAAAATTATTCCTTTTAAGTAAGAAGCACATTGTCTAACACAGAATAAAGACTCAATATTGCTAACCATTATTGTCATCATAAATGGCAACCAATGAATAATCTTATGTTCTTTCAGTCACTTGCCTGAATCGTTGAAATGCCAGCCCTGAATGATCCGCCAAAGTACTGCATGGAAACCCATTCCCCAATGGCATATTTAGGGCTCTCATAAAGCACCTTCTTTTGAATGTACTTACAATTGACATTAAAGTTAAAACATAATGTTGAAGGTTTGCTCCATGGTATGAAACCATTTGTCGGTCTGCTACCACCATCACTTCTACAAACCGTGGCTGGGATAAAAAACGTTTTGTTCTTCTGTGCGTTCTTTCTCTTGTGCTGTCTGTCCTGTTATCTTGGTCAGAAAGCACCTTTGTGGCTAAGCTGCTTTGGAATATTGCCACATCATCAGCCAGGCTACTTCTTCCTCCCCATGTCCTGGTTCTCTTTATCCTCTTGTCTTCACTGTAACTACTTTTGTGTTCTGTAACAAATCAGATGTCATGCATTACACTCAGGCCATATCTATTTTGTATTAAGAATTGAACTAGACACATCTTAAAATGATGTCTGTAAAGTCAACTTACATACAAAATCAAGCTCTACACACTGTGGACTCTACAGGTGAACTTCAATCTGCACTCCTATCTAAATGTCTAAGGACTTCAAATTAGCTTCCCTGGAAGTTTCCATAAATGCTCACTTAAGGTATTAAAAAAATCAGGCCTGAGTTTAAGGAAAATAATCACAAATGATTGTTTTCATGTGATTACAAAAGTCTTGCTAAGACTTAAGCAGTTTCTATTCATTGTTCTTTGCCATAGATGGAGGCATAGGTGGAAACACTGTGCCTTCTTGCAAAACCAAGTTTAAAAACAACAAAGTTTTAGCATCAAAAAAACGCAGCCAAAACACAGAAAATTGAATTATACAGAAGTCCAACAACAACGAACCACTCAGCTAGACCAGTTAGAGGGGCAAAGCCAGCAGCCGAGCAAGGTTGGGTAGGGAAGATCCATCTGACTGACCCAGGTGCATGACCCAGGCGTGACCCAGGCACACAGGCAGCCGTGGGCAGATCCCATGTGTGGAGTAGCAATGGGCGGACCCACTGAGGGTGCAAGGCAGCAAGCTGACCTCAGTCACACATTTGCACGCAGATAAACCGGCGAAGGAGCAAGCAGTTAGACGGACTGGGCAGGCCCCAGCAGCGGAAAGCAAGAAAGGGGACCACCATTGCCCCCTTTGACCCTGCCCCCACATGCGGTGTCACAATCTAGCAACCTGGGCGGCCCCGCCCTGGTGAACACCTAAGGATCCACTCCTCATACCTAACAGGTGTGAACAGACCAAAACATGGCTGAAGAAGAACTCAAAGCCCCAGAGCCCATAACTCTAAGTGACCAAGAAATAGCCAACCTATCATATGCACAGTTCAAAACACTGGTGATCAGGATGCTCACAGAACTGGTTAATTTTAGTCACAAATTAGAGGAACATATGAAGGCTAAACTAATTGAAATGAATGGTAATGAATAGGAAACCAATAGTGATGGAAAGAAAACTGGGACTCAAATCAAGGGAGTGGATCAGAAGGAAGAAAAAACAACCAAACAGAAAAAATATGAAGAAACATGAATTCAAAAAAATGAGGAGAGGCTTAGGAACCTCCAGGACATCTTTAAATGTTCCAACATCCGAATTATAGGGGTACCAGAAGGGAAAGTGGAACAGCCATGAGTGGAAAACTTATTTGAACAAATGACAAAGGAGAACTGCCCCAATCTGGCAAAAGAAATGAACTTCCAGGAAATCCAGGAAGCTCAGAGAGTCCCAAGGAAGGTGGGCCCAAGAAGGAACACACCAAGGCACATCATAATTACATTAGCCAAGATTCAACTGAAGGAGAGAATCCTAGAAGCAGCAAGAGATAAAGAAGGGACAGTCACCTACAAAGGAGTTCCCATCAGACTATCAGCAGATTTCTCAAAAGCGACCTTACAGGCAAGAAGGGGCTGGAAAGAAGTATTCCAAGTCATGAAATCCAAAGACCTACATCCAAGATTGCTCTATCCAGCAAAGCTTTCATTTAGAATGGAAGGGCAGATAAAGTGCTTCTCAGATAAGATCAAATTCAAGGAGTTCATCATCACCAAGCCTTTATTATATGAAATGTTAAAGGGACTTATCCAAGAAAAAGAAGTTAAAAAACATGAACAGTGAAAGGACAGCAAACTCACAGTTATTAAGAACCACACCTAAAACAAAAGCAAACTGAGAGGACAGTTAGATCAGGAGCAGAACCATAGAAATGAAGATCACATGGAGGGTTAGCAACAGGGGAGTGGGAGGAGGAGAAGGGGGAGAAGGTACAGAGAATAAGTAGCATAGAAGGTAGGTAGAAAATAGATAGGGGGGAGGGCAAGAATAGTAGGGGAAATATAGAATCTAAAGAACTTGAGACACGTGGTCATAAACTAAAGGGGGGAATGGTGGGGGAGGGGGTGTGCAGGGTAGAGGGGAATTAAAGGGGGAAATAGAACAACTGCAATGGTATAATCAATAAAATATATTTAAAATAATAAATAAATAAATAAACAAACAAACAAATAAATAAATAAAAGATATAGTCAGGGCCACTGGCAGCTACGACCTCTAGAGAATGGAAATGGAGATGCTTCATGTACACCACTTTTGATATTCAACGAGACACAGTATAGAGGTTGGAGAGGTGGGCAGGCTAACAGACAATACAAGGGAACTACAGAAAATGCATGACAAGGTAGGGATAGTATTATTTTATTACTATACTTAATCATTAAAATATGCAAAACTTAAGAACAGAATTACTGCTATTCAATGCCTCTGAATTTTTTCATTAACTTATTTCAGCACTTAGTTAAGGCAGTAGATTAAACTCAGAGAGTATGAACTGATAGCTGGAACCATGATATACAATGACAGGCTAGCTCTATTCATTTCCAGCTCTTGCCTAGCCCTCCAGAGTTCTGCACAGTCTTGCTATTCAAAGTGTGGTCTTTGAATAAGAGCATTGGCAATCCTTGGAAACTTGTTAGAAATGAAGACTTTTGGCGCCACTCCAGACCTGATGAATCAGAATCTACAGTTTAACAAGATCTCCAGGTGATTCATATTCAAGTTAATGTTTTGAGAGGCTCTAACCTCAAACTTGGCTTGAAGCTTGTATGACTAGTGAGCATATTCAATTTCAAAGCCATCAGTCACACAATAAACAGAGTAAGCATAAAGTGCATGCCAAAATATGCTTCGAGTAATAATATAATTTAGTCTTGCCTATCAGTTCATAAATGTACTTTAAAGTTTTAATGTGTGGGTGAGGAAGAAATTTCCTTTTACCCTTCTAGGTTCTTTGCCTGATCTAATAATGAAATCAACATGAAACACATTAAGAAGAGAAAGTAGGCAAATTCACTTACAAACATATATATGGGAACACATACATGAGACAGAGACCCACACATACGTGAGGGGTTCAGATATGGAAAGATAAAATGAGATATACATGACATTCTGAGCTAAAAATGAGGTAAAGAGCCTTGGGACTTCAGAGGGGAGAAAAGTAATTCATAAGACAATAAGAAGAGCAGGTATTAATTAGGTGTTTGCTCTGCCACATGCATAGATCGTAAAAGTGATTTCTGGTGATAACTCTAATATTTGCAAGGACCTTAATTTAGATTCTTTAAGAGAGAGGTAAAAGTTTCTTGTGAGCCTCCATGTTGTTCACAGTCTTCAGCTCAAACTCATTCAAGTGTCGAAGGGGCACATCCTGGGGTGCCTGTTCTGAACCCCTTCAAATGACACTAGCTAGCAGTCTAAAACAGTCAACAGAATTATACAACTAAGAAGTGTGCTTACCTAAGACATAAGGGATAAAATTTATTACACCACTAAACATACACAATGACAGGAAGAAGTTAAACTGTAAGTGGTTTTGTCTTTTAAGGGTGCAAATATTTGACCTTTAAAACCTATTGCTAAAATAATCAATTCAGGCAAGAATGTATATTTTGTCCAATTTGAGTATTTTAGCTGTTGTTAAAACAGTAAAATCAGTCCAAACTGTTAAACAAGCTATATGTGTTCCAGCTACAGATAATGTGACTAGACCAAAGCCTGGTACATAGGATTCAGCACTGCTTCCTTCGCCAACTCTTTTCTTTCAGGCATATTCATATATGTATATTCATGCCATATGGCTAGGTAGGCTTGTCATTCCATTTTAAATTACCAGATGATTATAGAATAGATACTAATCAAGCACTCGATATGTGTCAGACATTGAACTAGGTTCTTTTGTGTATATTCTCTCACAATTCCTCTCAGACTGAGAAAATTAACTGCTATTTTACAGAGGAGGGAAATAAGTCTCAAAGAGACCAAGCAACTTATCCAAAGTCACACAGCAGGAAGTGGTGGCACGAGTAATCAGGCATGGATTTGCTGCACACCCTAACCAGTGCCCTATTAGGCAAGATTTCTGAGAAGCTTGGAATTGAAATGGACTCATGGTTTGATTAACAGTTTCCAAATAGAACTTTAATTAGGAAAAGAGAGTGCCTGGTAGACATTTTCACAAAGGCTAGCTTCTGACAACAGGTGTATAAGAAGTGTTTTTAAATACATAAGAAAATATGTCACTTATTTTGTGAAAAATAAATAATCCCTGTTTAATGTTTCCTGTAAAGATTTTAATACAGTTTATTATAATCAGACATGTTTAGCCTTTTTGATCCACCATCTATGGTGGACTTACCACCAAGATGCAGATTTTTGTGGAAAACCTTATGTGGAAGACCATTGCTTTTGAGGTAGAGTGCTCAGTAGGTCATGCAAAGGCCAAGATCCCAGATAAGGAAGGAATTCCTCCTGATCAGCAAAGACTGATATTTGCTAGCAAGCAACTGGAAGATGGATATACTTTGTCTGACTACAATATTCAAAAGGAGTTGACTATTCATCTTGTATTGGGACTTTGTGGTGGTGCTAAGAAAAGGAAGAAGTGTTACACCACTTCCAAGAAGAATAAGCATAAGAGAAAGAAAGTTGAGCTGGCTGCCCTGAAATACTTACAAAGTGGATGAGTTCTTCCTTTCCAATTTAGATGCCTTTAATTTCTTCTTCTTGTCTGATTGCTATGGCTAGGACTTCCAGTGTTATGTTGAATATGAGAGGTGAAAGTGGATATCCCTGTATTGTAACCCAATTTTAAGGGGAACAATTGTAGTTTTTGTCTGTTGCTATGATGCTGGCAGTGGATTTATTATACATGGCCTACTGTGTTTAGGTATGTCCCCTCTATTCCCACTTCACTGACAATTTTTATCATGAATGGATGTTGGATTTTACCAAATGTTTTTCAGCATCTATTGATAGGATCATATGGTTTTTATCTTTCATTTTGGTTATGTGGTGTATCACACTTACTGATTTGCAAATGTA